AAAATATACTCGTACATTACGGATCTATTATTTTCGTGCAAATAATACCCTGGCTTTTAAATCGTCCAACGGATGTTTCATTGAAAAATAACTAAATGAAACAATTACATATGATGTGTGTGGAATAAGCAATCATGTGACAGTATTGTATTCACCTTTGCCATACTAATAAATTGTTTCAGAAACACAAGAGCCAATTATGCGGCATTGGACGCTGTTGCACATGTTTACCTTCACCTATTTCACTATACGCTGTTTTACTCTTTACATCCTCTTAGATTTTACATGCTTCACTTTACATGGTGTCTCGCAAATATTTTCTGTAAAAATGACATTTGGCAAAAGCCAGTCCATAATTTTCGTTGGATTTCAGCGTTGTTTTTTCCCGGCGCGGTGACATGTTACCCGTATATCTCGAAACGTTATTGGAGCAGCTAGGGCAACGAGGAGATGTATCATCTGTATCTCTGGCGGTTTTACTTCCCACGTGAGCCAGAAAAAAATCCCAAAAACATTTTCTGCACGTCACCTCAAACGATACGATAATATAACATGCAAGACAAATGTAGAACGATGTTAGAAAAAGTCAGAAATAGTTATAGCTTTGCAAAACGTTTTGTTACGTTGCGAGGTTATTCGAAAGTCGTGATCACGACACGGTTATAAGTCACTGATATCAAAAATTAACGGTATGAGATATCACAGATATTCAGAAATAACTAGATCGGCCAATCTCAGCGGTGACTGCCGCACTCCGCAGAAGGGTGCCAAACTGGGGGGCACTCCTTAGGAATCTATTTGGTCATTAAAACAAGCATATTTAACATCATGTCATGTACAAAATTTTGAAGATTTTTAGGATCCCCCCTGGGATAAGTTGGCAGCCCCCGCTTTACAAAACGTTTTGGGGGCAAGTAAATGTTCACGGAAGTTATCTCTTGCCGTTGATTGCCCCCTCCCCCTGAGAAAAATTCCTGCGTCCGCCCATGATCTCTAAAAAAATACATAAAAAATCAACTTTAAGCTAATCTTAATCTCAAACGGATCTTGAGATCACTTTTTTATTGCCACACCAGGTATAAACGTACGCGCGATGCGATGATGTAAATACAGCTACTCACAACTCATGCATAATTGATGATTCGAGATTGAAAGCAAAATCATTTTGCCAACGCTAACGGAATATCATAACAGCTGCGCTTAAATTCAACTGTTTCGTTTTCAAAAGACCGCAAAAACTCCTCTTATCTGTCAGGTACCATCTTGTTATGTTAATTTTGATTGCGCGAAATAAGAACGCGTTTACTTTCGACGAACTCACGAATAACGAATTGTTTTATTATTGGTAGTTTCTCATTATGCTGATTTGTGGTACTTCTTTTGTACCTTAGCGATGAGTTTTATTACAGCTCACCTTCTCAAATTTACATTGCAAATAAAAAAATATATATATTAGGTACTCACTCAATTTTATCCTGTATATCATTCGTACGGGTATGAATACACATTGCTTAATAAGAATACATTCTTTTTTAAATCACGTTCTCTTTTTTTATGTATTGCAACTTACAATCTTCAGAAAATAAATAAAAAAGTGAACGTCTAGTTTATAAATTTCTTTATTCAATAAAACTGAATTATTATCATTAAATATGTTGAACTATAAATGTCAAGTAAGAAATAAAATTGCACACAAAGTATAAGAAAGAAACCTTTTTCTTTCATGTTGGGTAGTATCTCCTCATTTCAAACACCTTTTTACATCCTGATAGAACCGCTGTTTTTGTTGGTCACTCACAATCCAAGATTTGAAGGGAAACATGGAAAGGCGAATGAGTAGAATCATTTTTTTACTACATCCGGCAACACAGGCTAGAATAAATAGGTGAATGGCGAATGAATAAGCTATAAAATCGGGCAAGAATGGTTGACGAAATACTGCGCGTCGTGGTAGCTAACATACATACATTACATTGCATTTCTATTCATTCTTGGTAATCGTTTTCATATAAACGCTATATTTATGAATAAACAAGTTACTAATGGGTTATCTTTTTTGAACACTGTACCTGGACAGATGAATCTATCTAATTTAACTAGACAGCGCGAAGCGCCATCTATCACTAGAATCGGCCACTGCGAACAGTGAATCGCAGACAACCGTTAGGGCCGATATACACTGAAAACCAGATACCACTGACGTCCATCGAAATAAGTCAGCATGAGGCGACATCTAGCATTAGAATCGAAAATTGCGAACAGTGAAATCATGGCCAACAGGTTGGGATTGTATAGATCTCAGTCCGCCAGTTGGAGGACCAGTCACTACGTGACTAGATGGTGACGATTCTAGCTGTGCAATAGATGTGGCTTTCTTGCCATTAAACAAAACTATACTTCAGAAGCAGCCAAAAAGCACGAATCAGCTGTCCATGATTAGCTGTCTACGAATATATATCGCTTAGAAGCGTCACTAAACTACTAAGACAGCAACGGCAAAGACAGTCTAGTGCAATATATTTGCTACTTATCATAACAGAGGGATATGATGTGTGTAAAAATGGCACACCCACATTTTTTCTAAATATATATGAATTATTCAACGAAACCTCCGCCTCTTGTTAGTTGGTTATTCCGAGAAATTTTGTTTGATATTCATAAGCTCATAAGTTCTCTTCTAAGAAGTTCATGTTTAGGTCATGTGATTCAGTTATATCAAAAAAAAAAATGGGAACCAACGAATAGGTGGAAGGAGCATGTATACGATTTTTTGTCATCAAAATTATATAGTCAGTAGTCAGGATGCAAGTTCATACATACTACAAGACGATCAGGCTTGTTCCCCCAGTTTGGCAGTTGTTGACATTTCAATTTAAATTTGTACTTCTGCGGAAATAAAAAATAAAAGTGCGTAGATTTCGTACAATCCTAGGGTTCCAGACAGTTTCCGAAAATGGTGAAGATTTCTGTGTATTGCAAAAAGCAATTTAAACTGAATCAGAGCAAATATTTTTCTCCATGTAGAGTGAGTATCTATCACAAATAACAAAAGCTTGGCAATTATAGAATCAATCGAATTGACGCCATTTTTAAATGTTATAGGATATGTCTTATTATTGCTTGAGTAATAAAATGGCTCTTAGACCCACAGTTTAAAAACGACAATACGGAAGAGTCCTTTGGAGTACGGATCAGTCTATTTCTCACACGTGATTTGACAAAAATGCCCACAATTCAGTTTTTGCATAGCTTTTTGAAAGACTACGGTCTATAAATACACATTATATTTTTACGGACACAGCTAACGTGTTCTACCAATTTCGCAATGATTATGTATAGCATGCTCTGCACTACTTGTAAAAATAATTATAGAATCAATGAGCCGATTCCAAAAAAAGTCATTAATATCAATGACGGAACAAAACCAAACTGAAATAGAATTTGATTAGAATATTGATTGTTCTGAAAAATTGCAACGGCGATCCTTGATCTGTTTCAGACTTTATTCGATGTAACAAAAAATGGTGTCAAGTAGATTGACTCAATACTTCCCATGCCTGCGAAACAACTTCTTGTAGTTCCATATAGCGCAATGGCATCAAAAAGACGTAAAATGTGTCAGAACCATTGGTGCAGTATTTGGGTTTTTTGTGGGAAAAAATTCCTCAGATCAACGAACGTGTCCGTATATGGTAGCCTCATTTCCTTAAAGCTCTGGTGTAGAACTATTTGTCAACAATCTTTGATAACTGATTATAATAGTTCTTGAAACGCACTCATATACTATAGTATACTATATAATATTGGCTGACGAAATCAAGTAACCTCATTACATTAACTCCAAACATAATGCTCGTACAACTAGATAGGATCGCGCCTACCTCGTATATAATAATAAAACGTATTTATTGGGCGAAGTTTAGCATGAGTTATTCTACCACTTAAGCCGTAAAATGTCAATAGACAAAATAAACTATAAAAACAATATACAACACTAAAAGTGTTACCTGCTTTTAGAAGTCCCTTAGCTCCACTACCAAATATGCAATATTTACAACCCCGTGTCGCATAACAAATGCGACCGATATGTACACGAACCGTTTTATCTGCAAATGTATGGGAGAATCTATGATGTATGAAATATGTCCTGTAGGTGCGTAGAATTACCGGGGTAGGAAGTGAATTGATAGAAGAATTACTGCACACTCTCCCCCACCCCCTACAACCCCTCATCTCCCAATTTTTACCCGTATTTTTTTCAAAAATGATCAGCATACTCTGAAAAACAAAGTTTCAGCGATTTTTATTTTTTTCATTTTTTAAAGTTTTCATTACCGCCACTGGACGGATTTTCAAAAACTATAAAGGTTTTTCATGCATAGCAGTAACCTTGTGTGAAAATTTAATCCATAATCCATAATTTATAGACGGGCCAAGGATTTGCGGACAGACCGACAGATACACAGACCAACCGACCGCCGGAGATGATTGACATGGTTTTTCGTGATGTACATGTCATATAGGATTCAAAAAACATAATCTCATTTTCAAATTTTTCCGCGATCACATTACTTTTTCGCCAATAGGCGTCGGAAGTAAAAATTAACCACAGCATCAATGTGTATGTACTAAGAACTGCTTCAAAATCATTATAGAAGCTTATGACATAAACAAGTCTAAAGACTACGCTCTCGTCTAATGTGAAACATTAACTTTGTGATGATCACTTTGCCTCGATCAATATGCTAATTGTAAATATCATAAACTTTGTTAAAGATCGACCAGAGGTTACTGAAATTTCGTGTTGTCATATAACCAAGAAGCCATTGTCCGACAGATGTAATGGTCATGTATTTTCGGGATGTGTCTACCATAAATCTTTTCAAATTTGAAAATGTTTGTGAGCACAAAGCTTCGTTGGCCCATAGTAAATATAAGCAGTTTTATCTTTTTATGAATGTAAGAAATTTATTGCATTTTTATCATCTATTTTTTTCCAGGAACTCCGTTGATATAGCATTGGCAGCTACCCATTTACTTGGATTATCTGTCTACGTAGTATTTATTGCAGAAACGCTTTTGAAGGTAAATTTATAACAAAGGCATTTTTTCTATATTGGTATGCATTTCAAAAATACTTACGCATTTTTTGCAATGAATGAGTTTCACTTTGAAAAATAATGGAACAGTTAGTAAATTATTGCAATATGTATTTACGTCGTCATGAAACTTTTATGAAAGCATACTGCTCCAACACTCCATTCACGTCAACGTCTACGAAAGAAAATATAGAATTAATGGAAATAGTAAGAAGGAATGGACTTTGCAATTCTCAATTAAAGGTTATCATGATGAAAAGTTCATAATTTATGCAAGAGTATTTTGACCTTGATGACTGTTCAAAGATACAGCGCAATCACGTTAAATATTGTGACATACAGACTAACACTTTTAGCATATCTAGTAGTTTTTTGAACGTCTAAGTTATTTTTTTCGAACCTATGTCCTATCCCATCTGAAGGTAAGTTCTTAATAACGAGGAAATAGAATATTTTAGTTTTCTGAGAACTTCATACTGCAACATTTTCTTAGTAGAAAGTCACCCCTCGATTTGCTCTCTTGATAAATAGCAAGTGAATATCTCATCATCGACTATCAATCTCATCTCTAAAGAAGAAATTTACAAACTCAATAAACGTCAAAAGATATCAGAGAATAATTTAGGATCATTCTCTAAGGAGCATTCTATCCTACTGCGCTCAACAATTGAAACCTTGGTCTGACCCAGTCATTTATCTAATTAATCCTGATCTTATGATAATTTCTTGTAGCTATTGGCGCCATACCACCCACCAATTGCTGAACATTATACAGAATGGGCTCTGTACGTAAAGCTGATTATACTCCTTCCATTGATCCTATGTTGCCAGATAAAGGAGTTGAAGCACTTGGTCCCATTTTCCTTCATCGCCAACGTGACCATGATCATTGCTTTCTCCATCACACTTTACTACATGATCTTGGAAATGAAGTAAGTCAGTCAAATTTAAAACTTAAGCAATACGGGAATGGTTAAAATTATACGGAAGGGTTTGTCGAGAAAACACTATTGTTACGACGCCTTTATGGCCTCTTTGATTGTCATAATTTTCTACTTTTCCGTGTCAGCGCTCTATTTTGAGGTTATGTCACAAATATCTATTTGCATCAAATTATTCATGCTTTTGATTTATATCATCTGTTATATCAGCCTGAAATTTCCTACAATTCAAAAAGAAAACATAACTTCACTGGGGTAATTTGAGACCCTGAGTTCGAAAATGGGGTTTCTTGGAACGAAACTGATTTTAGATATATGATCCATGCACCTGATTTAGTCGAGAGACGTATTTTCTTCCAGACTGTATTTACCTACGCAATTTTTTTGTGAAATTCTCTCGACATTACCTATACATATTTAGTCTAATCATATTAGACGAAAATACCACTAGTTTGCGAAATCATTGTAAAGTCTGGTTTTATTACTGCAAGTTGTTTATTCAAAACACGGACGCATAAAATGGATACACCAATTTTTGTGGGAAAACTTTTTATTCGACAACAAAGAATGAGAAAACGTGTTTTTTGGGTTTCAATCAAAAGTGTGGGCAGGACCGAAAAAACTCAAAAAGATCCGACTCATAGCAAAAAAGTTATGGCCGAGAACCGAGGGAAACTGCAAGTTTTGGTACTTGTTGGTAATGTGACGATGGTTTCTCGTAGATATTTGAAATTCTTCAAATTCGTAGGATTCGTACTTCTAAATAACCACAACAAAATTGAAATAGATTGGTGGAGTAGTTTTTGAGAATTTCTAATTGTTTATCCCAAAACACCTGTTTTCCGGCCATCACTACTAGTTTCTTTAGCAATATGCAGGGTTAATTCAAAGAGCATTTTATAGAAAAATACCCTAGTTTATCTTGCCGATATGAATGGCAAATCATTCCGGAAGATAAATGTTATTTTTATTCAAAAAAAGGGTTTTTTCTTGTAAATAAATTCAAACATTTCGTATTTGTGAGTAATTCGCAACAAAAGATTGAAGACACATCCGCCTTGTTTTAAAATGTGTATAGTACCGTATGTTTTTCGAATATCGTAGCGCATTTGTTCAATTACTCACAAATACGAAATGTTTGAAAACGTAACTTTTGTTTTTCGCATAAAAATAACATTTGTCTTTCGGAATGGTTTGTGATTCATATCGGCAATATAAACACGTGTCTTTGAACGAACCCTGTATTTTGCTCAATAAACTAGTAGTGAAAACACTTTTTTGAATTCCTATTAAATAATATCTTATTTCCAGGTACGCTGATATAAACGATCGAAATCTAGCAACAAACATATCAGCGATTCCGTCCTTCTTCAGCACAGTTATTTTTGCGATGGAAGGCATCGGTACTGTGATGCCTTTGGAAAACTCCATGATAGACGGGCAGTTCATCGGATGTCCAGGAGTGCTAAACTTCGGCATGACTATTGTCACTTCACTCTTCGTGGGTATGGGTTTCTGTGGGTACTACAGCTTTGGAGAAGCCACAGAAGTCACGATCACGCAAAACTTGCCATCTGACGAAATGTAAGTGTTTGATAAGGACATTTTTTAAGGCATCCGCGACTTGATTTATGTGGGTTGGCAAAGGTTTTTAGGGTGCAACACTCATTCCACGTTTGCTCACTAGGATCGTTGTAAACGTCCATCTATGGAGGAATGGATCAACTAAACGTATAAACGTATTGTTGCTTGCATATGTTTTCTGAAGCCGAGTGGTCTATAGTTTTCATCTCTGAGAAGAAAGTTGGCTATTTGGTTGAATAGCAAGATCACATCTGGATGATTGTGTGTATTAGTCTGCATATGTATAAAATCAGTGATATTTGGTGTGTGAGGAAATCATTACTGAATATGCTTCCAATGAAGTATATCTATAAGCTGTGCCCGACCGGTTATTTATATGTTGTCGATTCGGACGACAGGTTATGTACAAAATTAAGTATAATAATAATAATAAACGTCTTTATTTCCAAATAGACTGATTATATAAAAAATAGCCAAATACGGGCGAAGTTCAGCTGTAGCTGCTCTTCCACTTAACCCGCTATAAAAAAGTCTGTACAAAAGGTGAGTGAGACCTACTTATTCTACACATTACAAATACTAAATGTATATGCAGTGCTTACATTAATACATCTACTATAAAAGAATCATAAACTTGTATCAATATTTTCCTGAAACATGGTTACTACTGCTGGGATAAGAGATATTTTTTTAATTGAGTTTTGAAACTTGAGATGCTCAGAGTTTTATATTGTACCGGAAGGGTGTTATAAATGGAACAAATTTGGTAGCTGAACCGTCGTTCAAATTGGGCTGTTCGGAATATCGGCGGTGTCAGCAACCCCCTGGATCTTATATTGATGTTATGCACATCTGTTCGAAATGTAGCTTTTTCAAATAAGTAAGTGGGGGTCTTATACAAAATTATTTTATGATATAATGTTGCGGCATGCAAAAATCTTCTTGTTTCCATGTTCAACCAATTCGCATCTTTCAACTTATGGGATATTCGGTCTCGTCTTCTGATGCCATATATATTAATCTGAGGCAAGAATTCTGCGCAACCTGAATTTTTTGTTTGAGACAAGAATTCAATGGAATTATCATTAAAACATATTATTAGCACACAACTCTTCACTAATGTCACAAAAAACCAATATAATGTCAAAAAAAAAATCGGCATATTGTCACTTTTCAAGATACGTAATACCCGTGCCGCACGCCTAAATGAAACTGATACAAGAAAAACTTTACTACTGAAGTTTACGATGACAGTTTGTCAAAAAAGCACGGCCAACCTATATTTTCCTAATAATTCCCATATTATTATGGTTTTCACTTATAAAACGTGGAATATCTCAAAAGACATTAGGTCTAGGTATAGGGAATGCTTAATATAACTGAAAAGGCATCAAGAGTCCCGTTGAATAGAAATATAACATACAGGATGTTGCATTTGATTTTTTCGAGAAAATTACATATTTCCGTTTTGAGTCACCCTCTAAGCCTCGGATGAAAAATGTACGTAAATACCACTGGATATGAATGTCTACCACTGTTTCCAATACTCAATATAATAAAACAGATTCTATCTAAAGTGTGTTTAAGATGCGGGAAGTCAAATGTACAATGATTTTAACGAAGAAGTATATATATTCCGAAATACCCAGTACAAACCCCCGAAAGCATCCATTGTCAGAATGGCCAAGAAAAGCCGATTCTAAATATCAACATAAGTACAGGGTGTCCTATTTAAAAAAATACAAGTTTCTATTGCCACTAATTTATGGGACAGCTAAAAATAATTTTAGTTTGTAGACCTTAGCTCTGCCTACAACTTATATATATATATATATATATATATATATATATATCTTTTTATGCAACTCTAGTGGTAACGAAAATATTGAGCTTTGACACGCTATTTCTACACCCTGTATATGAATGTGTAAGAAAGACTGGTCTAATATAATACTCCATTTTACTGTATAACTTCTGTTTTTATTTCTGAGCGTAAAAACTTTCATTGGGGCATAAAATTGCAATATCCCGTAAGTGCGCATGTAATTGAAGCTAAAACATCTAGTAATAGTTAATCTTATATGTTTAACCATGAATCTATTTGAGCCAACTTAATATTGACAAGGATTTTTGTCTATTACAGACTGGCACAAATAGTCCAAGGATGTATATCTGCTTCAGTATTCTTCTCATTCATGTTGATCTTCTACGTACCAATAGACATATGCTGGAGGAAAATACATCACCGGATCTCGAAAGAAAAACACAATTTAGCACATATACTAATACGCACCGCTTTTGTCATAGTCATAGTGACGGTAAGTAGAATTTTGAATATCATCACCTAATCAATTTTTGTTATGGAACACAAACGCTTCGTCCTTTCTTCCAATCTAACTCTATTTTTTCTCATGCTTGCTTATTTGTGTATGTCTACCTTTTTTTGGCATTGTCAAGAGTAGGTCAAATTAAAAACTCTATAGTTAGTTATTAGTATTTTTTTGATTAATCTGGTTCATAAATGACCCTTTTTAACGATTCAGCATGTTGCCAGACCCAAAAATTGATCAAGAATAGTCTAAACAATTTTTAACAGGATAAAAAAATGTTTATTCCGGAAGTTTCTTGGGTCATTTTAAACAAGTAAGGTTCTTATCAAGTTTTCTCTAAGGTTGGTGGTTTTGGAGATATAAGCGATTTATTATAATATAATAAAATTATATAAATATATTGAACGCCAATTTAATTAGCATTTTAAAAAAGGCTTTAGAACTATATTAATGGATGTTTGAAGAATATTTGAGAACTTTGGCAACTATTGATTTTTTTTTCAAAAATAGCATATTTAGCACTGTATCAAATATCAAATCACTTATATTTCGAAAGCTATCAACTTTACAGAACAGTTCATAAGAGATTTTTTTTTTGATCTGAATAACCTAATAAATCAGAAAAGATAATTTATGGATTTTATTTGAAAAATGTTTAAACAGTTTTTTGGCTCAATTTTGGGCAAGACAACATGTATATTCGTTACAAGAGGTCCTTTTTGGAATAGGATTATGAAAAAAACCGATTCAGATTATTTTTGCAAGCAGATGGCAAGATATCCCTGGGTTATATGAGGTTTCCCTAAGAATATTTAATTTTTTTTGTGGGTAGTTTTTAAAACATGAAAAAATTGAAGAATGCAAAGCGGTTTCTGCCACCGTACACAATACTTACTAACGCGCTAAGTATCAAGAAATCCGTCCTATTCCATCCCACGAACCGTAAATAATCTACAAAATAATTTAAAAGTTGAGTTTATTGTTGTTATTCCAGGTGGCCGCAGCTGCAGGTACACATCTGGACACCCTTATCCAGCTAGTTGGAGCCGTTTGCCTGTCAACCTTGGGCATACTGATGCCTGCTGTCATCGATATTGTAATCAACTGGAATGACTGGGGCATATGGGACTGGAGCCTCTATAAGAACTTCCTATTGATTATTTGCTCTCTCTTCGGAGCTATCTGTGGATCCTACTTTGCACTTGAAAAGTTCTTCTAGTTCTGAACTTGTACAATGACACGTTATATTGTCAATAACAATTACGCCTTAACAGTTCAGTCAGAGAAAACCAAAAGTTCGCCAATTTTGGCTTAATATAGATGGTTTAAAATCTCTTTAAAACGAAGTGATCTCAAACTATCTATCGGGCTCTTATAAAGCAAGGATTACACTTTAATTGAGATACTTGGCGACCTCCAAAATTATACTCTTTAACAGAGTTTCTAAGCATTGAATATAGACATTAAATTGTTTATAACTCGAAAATGCTCAGCTTTAGAGAAAAGTTAATTTTTGGGCTCGCCAAATATCTAAATTAAAGTTAAAACCTTGCTCTACAAGACCTTAAGAAGTATTTTGAGATTAGTTTATTTAAAAATGAGTTCGACCTTGTTTTTGAGGCTAAAATTGGCGAATTTTTGGATTTCGTAGACTGTTAAAAAGGTTAGTTGACACGATTTCCGGAAACTCTATGATAAAATGTTGTTTAAAATATTTTATATTGATATAACTCCTTTTGTCATCGCATCAGTAAATCGCATCACATGTTAGACTAAGGCTTATCTACCAATTTTCCATTTTGAATACCGTACTCATAACTTGAACGCTAAATAATTTTATTGAAAGAGAATTTTAAACTTATTTTTACGTATATTTATAGTAAATATTATATTACGTACCAAGACACTCAAGATTGAGCATCACAAAATGATTATTTTGCTGTGTGTGATAAAATTGCTTAAAGTGATTATGTAATTTATAAGTTTTAACCCAGTTGTATTATTGAGCAATAATATTGATGTATGATTATTTACACGTGTTTCTAGATACTTCCTACTTTTTGTGTCGACGCCATTTGGACTTTGTAAATAATTAAAATAAAATTTATATTACGTTTTGGTAAGTCTCGTGCTTGAGAAAAATGTCGTCACTTAATAAATTGCCTATCGACATTTATGGTGTTTTGATTATCCTCCAACATTACATTTTTTGTGTTTCCATAAGTAAGTATTCAAATCTTTTGACTAGGAATAAGGGCCGTATCGTCAGTCGTTCCTACAATAATTGTAGGACGCCTTTATGGCCTGCTTGATTTTCATAGTTTTCTACGGTTCTGTGTCAGTTCAAAAAGAAAACGTAGCCTCACAATAGGTAAGCGCTGACGCTGACACGGAACAGTCGTAATCTAGAAATTCCCCAGCCTTTCTGAATCAAAGAAAATACTATGAAAATCAAGGAGGCTATAAAGGCGTCCTACAATTCTAAGAACGACTGGCAATACGACCCTACGAAACAACCAACTGAACGTGGCAAACATAACCAAGCGTAAGTAAGGATATAATTGAATCAGTGTGCATTTTTTACATACTTTTTTTACTGAATACGCTCCATTAAAGGTATATGCATATCTGGTGTCCGGGACTTTGGTTTTGCATGCACCACTCGATGGCGATTTTTAATTTTAAATTCACTAACTTCAAAAATAAGGTTACGAGCTTTATCCACTTTGCCCAAAACTTCTCAATTGTATGACTTAGGGCTGTATCATCAGTCGTTCCTACAATTGTAGGACGCCTTTATGGCCTCCTTGATTTTCATAGTTTTCTACTGTTCCGTGTTAGCGCTCTATTTTGAGGGTATGTTACAAATATCTATTTGCATCAAATTGTTTATGCTTTTGATTTATATCATCTGTTATATCGTCGTGAAATGTCCTACAATTGTAGGACGCCTTAATTTCCTCCTCGATTTTCATAGCCTTTTCTCTCCTTTAGAAAGGTTGGGATATTTCTAGATTTCCACTGTTCCGTGTCAGTGTCAGCGCTCTCCTATTGTCAGACTATATTTTCTTCTTAAATTGTAGAAAGTTTTAGGCTATATAACAGATGCTATAAATCAAAAGCATGATCAATTTGACGCAAATAGATATTTGTACCATAACCTCAAAATAGAGCGCTGACACAGAAGAGTAGAAAACCATGAAAATCAAGGAGGCCATAAAGGCGTCCTACAATTGTAGAAACGACTGACGATACCGCCCTTAGAAGGTCCTTTAATTATACGCGAAGAGTTGCTCGCACACGCACCTATTTTGTTGAAAAAATACATTTTGATGCCTGGTAGTCAAATCAGCACTTGTGTTATTCTAAAACCGATTGCTGATTATTAAAGGAAGCTGGACGGATAAGTCTATGTATTTTTTCAAGATGGTCGACTCATGGTTTAGGTGTAAGACGGGAAATTCAAATTTCTCAAAATTTTGCCTTGTCCTGGTTTCCCATATGTACCTTAAATACTGAAACATTAAAAATTAAAATATGAGGCATGCTAATCTATCAATATTCAAGTGATTCTCAATAATGAGCAATAAAAAATATGATTAATATATGGGCATCTCTTTTACTTAGGTTATATACCACTTACCCTATTTCCTGCTAAAACAACGTAATAAATTGTAAAGTTTATTCGAAATTTTAATCCCTTAGAACTCAGATAATATATTTAACCCAAAAAAGCACTCTAATACTGTTTTTTTTGTCAGTGACACAGTTCTTATTGTCTCCTGAAAAATTCAAATTATGGGACCTACCTTCTCTGACCAATTCAATTATAATTAAGGAATCTGTTGCTCTGAACTCCATGACTGCCTTTTCTTTCTGACCATGAAAAATAGTGTGTGACTTATTTTTCAACCCATCGCGATTATTGAGAAACGTTTGCAAATGAAGTTAGAGCGTAAACAACATACTATGATGTCCTGCCAACAACATTTTTTCAATAATAAGTCATATATATATTCGGATGGTCTAATCGACGACTTCGGTTGAGAGGACTCTATAATATCACATATTTGATATTTTATTTGTATAGTTCCATACCTTTATACAATCTTCACAGTCTGTGTATACCTACTATGTGTATGGTATACAATACACTGAGAACCAAATTTGTCTGACGGCTTGAGTTCAATGTGTATGAGAGAGAAGTGTGTATAGACACATATGTTAGAAAGAGAGACTCGTAGAAGTCAGCTGGATAGAGAAGCTCATCACCACTTTGCCTAGCAACGCTGACGCGGTAAACAGCTCCGTCGCCAATATTTTACACCAATTCCTTGAATTAAGATTCATGTTGAAAATATGCGTTAGTTTATTCTATACGCCCAAAGAATGGTTCTATCATGAGCGTACACATTTCTGAATTGTGTCGAATCTGTTTAGGATCGATTCCGGATCGGTCATAACGGTGCTACATTTCGCATTGGTCCACTTGGCAACACCGCATCTCGTACATTCCAAGGCAAGGTTTCCACCTCCATGATCATAGATGAACAATTTTGGTCAGTACCCATCTAGCGGTCACTGGGGAGTGTCGTCCTGCTTCGAAACGGTTTTCACCTGCGTATATGCAGGCAGTGATCATTTGTATTGCGCAATGGGATTTGTTACATTTTCCGACCGCTCGCTGTCGCAGAATCACCATCTGGGGAAATCAAAGATAATTATAAAATAAATTGAAACACCTAGTCGCGTCAAAGTTGAAATAAATTATTCTAATCAAAATGAAAGCAAAATATTAAATTAAATGTTCGAACAGACCTCCTTCTTGGGTTTGACAGTAACCTAGCCTATTGTAGAAGCCTATGCGAACATTTTCTGGTGTAACACATTGGAAACGCAGCAGATTGCACGACCTTCTGCGTCACAGTTGCTCGGCAATGTGGTGATGACCTTCGCTTTTCAGACAGCTTCTATCTCTTTCTAACATGTGTTGATGGACACTTCTCGCGCTTCTCTCTCGTACACATTGAACTCAAGCCGTCATACAAATTCGTTTTTCCCTGTACAGCCGAATCGTCAAATTGTTCTTGGTGGATATAAGATCCAATCGACACACTAAACTGCAATTTAAATTTTCTAGGGTGAATAAGATGAACTTTGATTCAGCTCATAATTATTTTACATCGCGGGCATCAAGCCAATAAACAGATCGAATGCAAAAAATATTCCATGAAAACAATGGTGTGATCTCATGGTTACGATATTTCTAACAGTATTTCTTATTTCTTTTAATAACCCGAAAGAGATGCGGCGAGTTACTTTCGACTAATTTTTGCGAAGCCATTTTCAAAATGAAGATAACTTGAAATTATCCGCACAACAATATACATACAGGGTTTGACCGGAAAGTAATAGGACTGAGTTGATTTAAAAAAAATGATTGAGCCAATCGTTACAATTCTTTAAAAACTTTCAAAATAGGCTGCTTCTGCGTCGATGCAGCGCTGCCAGCGCGATTTCCAAGCATTGAAGGCGTCACGGAAGGCATTCTCCGGAATAGCCTTGAGAGCCGCGGTGCATGCTGCTTGGATCACCTCTGTCGTCTCAAAATGCTTGCCTTTCATCCGCCTTTTCAGAAAACAAAATAAGTCCGGGGGCACATCTGGGCTGTAGGGCGGCTGCGGAAGCGTTGGGATGCCGGCCTTGGTCAGGTAGCTGTTCACAAGAAAGGCGGTGTGAGCCAAGGCGTTGTCGTGGTGCAACTTCCATTCGGCTGCGATGTCTTGTCGGACCCGACTGACCCTTCGTTTGAGTCTCCTGAGCACTTCCACGTAAAACTTGGCGTTGGCGGTTTTTCCAGGAGGAACAAATTCATGGTGGACGATGCCTTTGATGTCAAAAAAGACAATGAGCATCGTTTTCACTTTGGATTTGCTCATTCTTCCCTTTTTTGGGCGAGGAGACGCCGTCGTCTGCCACTCGGAAGATTGCCTCTTTGTCTCGGGATCATATTCAAATATCCACGACTCGTCACCTGTGATTACGTTATTCAAAAATTGGGGGTCACTTTCACACATGTTCAAATTTTTTTGGCACATTTCCACTCGCCGCAATTTCTGGTCGTCAGTGAGCACTTCTGGGACCATCTTCGCGCACACCTTGCGCATGTTCAAATGCTGTGTCACAATGTCATGAACCACAGATTTTGGTAAATTTAACATCTGGGCAATTAAACGAATACTTAGTCGACGATCTGAGTTCAAAACTTTGCGCACACGAGTCACATTATCGGTGTTTGTCGAAGTCGAAGGTCTTCCAGCACGGTCTTCATCAGCGACCTCTTCCCGGCCCTCCAAAAAGGCCTGGTGCCACCGAAACACACCACTTCTTGCTAAAGCAACACCTGGGTAAGCCTGCTTGATCATATCAAACGTCTCTGTCGCAGATTTACCGAGTTTCACACAGGATTTAATCGCATACCTCTGCTCTAACGAACGCTGCATTTTCGGCTTGCACCACTCACAGAAACACGTCGCGCGAAAATGCCTGTCCTGATTCTCCAAATGCTCGGAGACAACTGACCAGCCGCTCATTCGTTAACTTGGATCGTCCTCTACCGAATCCAGTCGGTGAGCGCACGCTCCGAAGTACACTCATGGCGGAAGAAAATGAGTCCTATTACTTTCCGGACAAACCCTGTACATCAGTATATTAGATACGCAGTGTGATGTTGCAATGAACGCTTGAAGTCACGGGAAGGTTCGATATTTGATGTCTTGACTTGACTTCTTCTATTCATCAGGGTCCTTTTGTCCATTTGCCCAAAAATTACGGACGTTTTAACTGGCAGAAAAGTGAAGCTCTTTATCAAAAAATGCCAAAGTTAGATTTTTTACATCAAAGCAGCTGCGCAGGCCGAATCCTAAATGCCAGGACACCGCGGCCGCTATGAAGATCCCGAAGAAATTTTATTATTTCGACTTTTGAACTGCTCAAGGTTAGTAGAACCTATAGATTGTTCTACAATCTCGACATCCTCGTGATAAAGGAGCGGTCGCATCGGCCAGATCTGGTTGTATGAAGTTCGACACCATGGGGACAAGAATGGGAGGCCAAAGTGAGGCTGGTCTGTCTGGCAGGCACATAGCGCGGCGGCATCATGGAGGAGAGCTCTGAGGAGCAAAGCCTGTTGGTGTAGCGGTAGAAGAGAGCTAGATGGCCGACGGCCCGCCGGTGCGAAAGTGTTCCGAGACTGTCTGTTAGAGAAGAGTCATCACCCGGACGGCCCTCCTCTGGACAACAGCAACAAGTCAGTAGTTTCTGGTTTAGTTTTTGCGAATTCGTGATTACAGATTCCAAAATCCTATCAAACAATATTCCAGCAAAGGTCTGACTGACTTTATCTGGTATCTGTATACCAGACCTGACAGACCTACTCATCTACAAAACAATATACTAAATCAAATATATCAAAATTTGGACACTAAAACTCCCCCTTCTACCTGTTTGTTGACTTAGAGCCGTTTTACACACAAGAGAATTACTCCGAAAATTATGGTTATAATTATGCTGAAAATTTTTGCTGTCGTATTACACCTAAAAGAATTCTTGTGAAAATGATGATGGTAAAAATATAAAACCCGTTCTATAGAATATGCGCGAGAATCGGCGCATGTCATTATCAAATGTCAACGTCAACAACATAACCTCACTTAACATTTATGGGTGTGGTCCTGTTCGAGTCGTACGAAGAAGCGTTTATTGTTATTGTTTATTCATAATGTCGTGGAATCGCGAAGAAGTTACACTGTTGTTGGAGGAGTACCAAAAATGGCCAAACGTGTACAAGGTGAAGTCATCCAATTACAAAAACAGAAATTTGCGGCGTTAGGCCATGGATGCGATAGTCCAAGCATTGAGAAGTTTTATAATATTAACCAAGATCTCGATTTCAAAAATAAATTTAAATCAACGACGTCTGTTGTCTTTCCGATTATTTTGGACGTCATACCCGTTAAGGTTATGTCCATTCGAAAATATTACTCTAATGCGCAGACGTATCATATGAATTACTCGGAAATTTTGTTTGCTTGTGTCATACAGGTTGTAGAGAAAATCTTCATATTTTTTCCATGCAAATTTTCCGCATATTTATGACCATAATTTTCGGAGTAATTCTCTTGTATGTAAAACGGCTCTTAAAGAAAGCTTTCGATACAGTAAACCATAAATTATTATTAGATACAATGGAAAAAATTGGTTTTGTGTTGGCAAAATAACAATGATAACAAGTTTTGCAGATGATACTACAAAATTATATAAGGTAATGATTGGTGTCATCTAAAAAACATACGAAAACGATTTCAACAAAATTATAACCTTGTTTTAACAACAGAAAATTAAGCATTATTCAAAAACACAGTTTTACCAAATACTAAAGATATTCTTTTACCGTAAGCAATCAGTAACTCCAAATTAATAAGCACCAGACAAAATATCTCGGATTATTCCTAGATTCTCACTCAAGGTGGGACTTCCATATTTCTTATATTTAAACAAAAAGTTTAATTTGTGCCATAGAAGACCAAATATCTCCCAAGCATTTTGACAGAAAAGTACCTTCGTACATTATACCATACATTGATTGAACCACATCTAGCCTATGGTATATTATATAGTATCAGGGCCTAAACCTTTAATCCATATATACAATTTAAATATTTTTCAAAAAACTATTTTAAAGACAATATTCAACAACCCCAGACTTCATCCTACTAATGAACTGTATTGAGAATTGCAGGTGAATGATATCAGGCAGCTTTATTTTTACACTCTATCACCCTGTATCATAAATTTATCAATATCAGTAAAAAATTAGTCATAATCATTTTACAAGATACAACGTGCTTAGAACCGTAGTTACAAAACGACATAAATCTGTGACAGCCGGCGGTCGTATCTCCATTCAGCACACAAGAGTTTATAAAATTTTACCAAAGCATATAAAAGATATGTTTTAGAAATTATTTCAAGAAAAATTTGAAACAGTGGCTATGTTCTATGGCCAGACATTCATAAATTAGTAACAAACATTTGAAATTGAGTTTAAAACCTGAATATATATTTTTTACACTAATTTATGATTTCTATTATACAGTTGCATCATGAAATTATTGGTCCATGTACACGCAATACCTTCCTTGATTTCGTTGTTTTACATATATTTCGCTGTTTTATTACAGTTAGGGTAAATAAATATCATTATTATTATCTTAGGGTTATCTGAGGTAGGTATATGGCGAGGTACGGGTTTTGACCAAGTATCCGCGTCTAATATTGGCTTAAGAAGCGTCCAACTATTGTTGAGGTGTAGGTGTAATAGAGTGAAGACGTTTTGTTGCAATCTCAAAATGTTGATGCTATGTGAAGATCCCACATTTTTTTTAATTTCATCTGCTAGCTCAGCATATTTACGTATCGTTTCTGCTATTGTGCTTAGTTATAAGTGTTGGGTACAGCTATGTCAATAACGAATGTCTCTTTTGCTTGTTTACCTATAACCATGATATCTGGATTGTTGCAGGCAATATCAGTTATAATATATATTATTATCATTATCATTATTACCTTATTCGAATATCCAAAGTTGTATACATGTATAACCTATCAAATTTGATCTGTCAACATATGATGGACTTTTTGTAGAACGTGGAATCCTGGATTAATGTAACAATAACTCAAGTGCGCATTTGGAAGTCCTACACGTAAGAAGTTAAAAATTTGCTCAATTTATTTTCCGCTAATTATCTCGTACCTCATAAGATAAATTAGAGCCTTGGAGCAGAAATTAAAGGACGGCCAAGCATTTCAAGTGCCAAATAATTGTCGCAATGTTTACAAATAGAAACTTATAACGCAAATGATGAGTTACAAATAGTTTGGTCTGTTATCAATAACAGCCTACACGTGGTGAATTTTTTGTTATCGACTTTGATTCGTCTCTATCTTACAAGGAAATCACTTTGTTCTCGACATTTTTGGCGTCATCTCAAGATCAATAAAACTATTTTGAATGTAAACACGTATCGGAAAACGGAATGCATTGGTTGAATATTACGCATTGACAAAAAATTGTATAGGTAAACATCAAAATTATGAAAATGACAGAAATTATTCTAAAACATGAGCAATGGAGCAATGGAGCCATTGTGATAGCGAGCATTTGCGAACTTGAGATAAATGGACTTCACGACACTGATTTTACTCTGCCTGTCGATTTTTAGATTAGGTTAATTTGGATGAACCTTTATTCATTAAAATTACAACTTTCCTAAGCACTTTTGTATGCTTTTCAAGTTTCTAGTCATTACACGAACTAATCGAAAGGAAAAATTCAATCTGATGCCAATAATAATTTACTTTAGTTACACATGTTACTCCTCTCCTCTATCCACGCTGGTCCCCTTTTTTTAGAAAATCCCAGATACATATCACCTTCTGGTTGTATAGTAATATAATTTATGTCAGTGATTCTCCTAACTTATAACGAGCGAAAATGTGAACAGATGACTCCTCATCGCTCCTGGGGTTCGACCGAATCTTCAGCTTTGCCTTAGGCCACATTCGGTCAAAAATAGACCTTAAGCGACACACTCGGCCTTCAGCCAAAACATGTCTTAGGTCTCAAAATAACAGTACTCACAAAAAAAAAATCAGAAATTGAGTGAAAAACGCACAGTCTCCGAGCTCAGTAGCTGCTGAAACACCTTCCAAAAGGTGTTAAGGTATACTGACATGCATAGTTATTTACACAATATTTGTTTTGGATAATGTAATATTATTTGCAGATTTAAGTTGTATTGTTTTTTACAAGTGCTTTATCTAAAATGATGTAATTATACCAGAGTGGCGATGGAACGGCTTTGCACAGTGTTCTATCTTCTGCCACTGCGACGCGGCCTGGAAAACGCTGGAATGGTTCTAGTCTCGTCGATAGGGGAATAAATGCCCGATCACGTGGCAGAAGGGGGAATCACAGTCCAATACACAGATGCAGAATTAGTTGCAAATGTTATTTGTGAGTGTAGCAAAAATTAGACTTTGAACAGTGAAAGGGGGTTTTCGTTACAATATGTATATAAATAACTGCTGGTTCTTAATCCATTTCTTTTACTGGCAACCAGTAGCCATATTGTCAAAACTATAATGCTGTAGCTCAAATCTGCGGTAACAGGAAATCTAGTTTACTATGTGACATTGATACGTTACTATTTTTTCTCTGATCTTCAATTACAGTATTGATGATTGTTTCATAATTAGTTTTGAAGCTTTATTCCCACCTAGTGGTTTCTGTTTTGCAAAAAATTCACTGCATATACATGCATGCGTTGAGTCGACTTTAATTTTGTATCTTATTCCTCTGTGAAGAAATAAAATCATTTATATGGATACTTTGCTTTTAAAGCTGACTTTTGAAGGTTCCATGTGACCATTATTTTACTTGTAAAATTATACCAGCAAATCGGGTTTCCAATGTAGCTATAAATGTATAGCTAATTTCAATTGCGTGATTGATAGCTATGAAGATAACACTAACTTCATTACCAGAACGCTACCAGTGTACCATTTTTGGAATGTTCACCATATTGGCGAAAATTATCAGAATTCTAAAACCTTCTGTGTAACCGACTCAATATCTCAGTGACGCTTATTAATCTGAATGTAACATAGCCTAATCAGATTTAAGTATCCATATTCATCCAATTACTTCCACGTTTTATCTCATTTTAACACGTTAAGACGTTTAATGTAACTCTTCAAATTTATCCTGTGGTTTTCATGCTCACAGGACTCCATTATCTGGTCAAATATATTTGTTTATATTTAAGTACAATTGACATTTGTTACAACATATTTTGTTTTCTGTCTTCCAAGTGGCGTTACGTTACTTTTTCCTTTTTTAATTCCTATACAGTATGTTACTACAATAGTTTGAATGATCCTGTAACATACTGAGATTGCGAGAAGCTACCATTTCAATTGTAAGGTTTCACAGCGCAAAAGTAGCAAAGACCAGGAGCACTTGGGGTAGACATTTCCGCTTCCAAAAGGATGTCCAGTCTCCCAAAGCAACAAGCGAGCATGAGGATATCTGTCATATTAAATTAAACAACAATCGTATTTCCAGTTCTTCTATGAAGTATAACCCAATTTGGTTGATTATACTTGAAGAAAGGATCTAATTGATATTTTCCAAACCAACTGATGTATCATACATGTATGATGAAACTCACGGACTGATCCCATAGGAAATGAATTGCTAGTGCGTAGATTCAAATTACATTAGTCCATTTTATCGAAGATTATGAGGATTCATCAACAACAATAGACAATATTGCCTTTGAGTGATATTTGAAATGAAGTAACGCAGTGAACGACTTAGTTCAAAAGTGCATACGAAAGATATAACGGATTCCGATCACCAAACTATCAAATAATTTTCCCCGTAAAAAAATTCTTGCGCTATTTTCCAGTCACCGTATTCCCAACGCACATATCAGATTTCTGAAAAATCTATTTGTAGCATTGAGGTCCCGCCAAAAATAACTACCCATCCCGAAAAGTGGGGGGAGTTGCCATAACCGCATCTCCCTGAAAATCCTACAACAGTCAGCACTGAGTCCCTGTTGACTGCTCATTCCTATCCATCGTTTACAGGTACGTTCAACTTTTTTTTAAAGTCCCTATAGGGATAGTGACAGTGCAGTGATAGTGCTCCTGGATACATCTTCTACATCTACAATAAGTGTAGTGCCTTACTGGAATTTACTTGCAATCTTAGCGATATCATTTCTGTTAGGAATAGTTGAGGCTAAATTTGGAACGCACGTAAAACTTGCGTAAGAAAGAGTGGCAACTACTTGATCTATTTTTGCGAGATACGACATAGACGGCCAAAAACTCTACAAAAGAATCGAAAGCATTACAGGGTCGGAGAGAGGGAGGGAAAGATATGGGTTTGAAATTTGAGAAAAGTCATTCAGCTCAGCACAGTCCCTTAAATGTGATATAATTCTCTTTTTAGTCAAAAGGTTTTGCGGATGCTGGAATGTAAAGAAATAAATAAAATAGTTTTCTATAAAACACAGTGCACTTCAAAACAAATTTACAGTGTTACTTCAAATCCTCTATTCAGAGCTACTGAAAGATTAAATGAACCATACACAGTCAAAAATGTGTGTATCATATTTCATCAGAAAGCAACTGAAGCCACAGAATTACCTAAGAAATCAAAATATTCGGTCAAAAATAGCTTGTTAGTCATGTTTAGGTTTCCCTTGTTTTTAGAGCTCTGTCTGCTATAAAGAATCAATAATTAACTAGAATAAAACACAGTAAGAGAGATTTACTGAAGTTTTGTGCAAAACTCAAGATCCCAAAACAGTATATTATTTATTTTAACCGTAAATACTCATATTAAGAAATTATATCAATATCAAAGCCACGTATCTTTAATTCGATCTGCTACCGATTAATCTAAGGCACATCTAATGATATTTTTGAAGAATGATGACTCAATATCTAATATTAGAAAGTAGTGCAGACTTTAACTGACAATACAAGAATAAAACATTAATTTGTGATTGCTTTTAACTGAACGTTAGCAAAGTGCCGATTTGTCACGGTCGTACCCACTAGGGAGCTTGAACCGCTGAAATGTGTGCTACATTGTTACAACCTAACAATACCTTCTGCTCTTTTTATGCTCTGCAGATTGCGATTAAGGGATACCTCCGCCTAAGGATGTTGGTAATCCGTCAGACGCAACTTATTTTTGACGACGCCCGAGAAACGTCCTTGCTATCTCAACTTTATGAGTTACAACATACACAAATTGCAATCAAACTGCTCATGTTCTGTTCTAACAGATCACAAGGCAGTTACGATAGAAGATAGATATTGAAAGTTATGAACTTCGTTTATCAAAAAGACATGCTTATGTTATTCTGTCAATTTGAGCGCTAAATATTTTTAAAATAAATTTCAATGTAAACACGAACTGTATCATAGGAACCACCTTATTAGGATGCTGCCTAAAGTGAACGTTGGTGTAATTCTGGACCGATGCCAAACAACGGGCTAAATATAAATGTTCGGCTGACGCGCGCTAGCTATACTGAAATATGTTCAGAAAGTTTAAAATGGCGACACGCTCTTAATCACTGGATTCATATTCAAACTTCTGCGTATTCAAACTTTATCTGTCAACACTGCTTCGAAATCAAATTAATTTATTTTCTCTCAGAGTACCAAGGGCATAAGAGGTATAAAGTTTTGCAGTTATTTATTTAAAAGGTTATCTTTAATTTGATAGAACATCTAATATTGAGAGATCCAAAAAATGCGAAATCAACCTGACAGAATATGGAGCATACACAATGTTTTCGATCACCTGGCATGAAAATCAGAGAGCCAAATAAGCCCCAATAAGCCAACCAAAATAGTCTCAGACTTCAGCTGAAATTCAGCTTTAAGATGCCAAAAATCAAAATAGCCATATAGAAACTACAAACTGTAAACCATTATAGAGTTGACTGGCCTATCGTTCTTTATTATGACAAATTTCAAATTTCTTAATTGTTACCTATTGGTCGGCCTATTTAACTCTATAACGACAGTACACACAGTATGTAAATTTTTAAATTTACAGAATATTTTCAATTTTCAAGGTCATCAACAACAACACAGCCTTCACCATGGCGGACGATGAGGTTAGGTAAGTCCTGAGACACAAAAAAGCCATGTCAATCAAGATCAATAGTGTCAGCCAATAACAAGCAAGCGGCATTTATTTTAATTCTTTTTTCACAAAAAATCGTAATCTGAAAAAAAAGCCCAGAAGTAAAATACCTTTGAAGTACGGTCCATAGTCATGTGCTGTTCGCCTGAAATGTCAGTTGACCTAAATTTTTTTTTCATTTACAGTCTATTTTTATTTTGTATTCACCTCAAAATAGAATTCTTCGTTTAACGAAACTACTCATTATACGTTTATCTTTTTTGCATTCTCCTTGAAGAGTGAGCTATTTTTAAATGGGCTTACGGATAAATTGGTATCGGTATTATAAGAATCTTCTGTACTGTTTATAAAATCACAGGATTATTATGATCACTTAACTGAATCCTATATTTTTTTCTTTTTCAGTATGACATCTGGCATCATGTTCATCAAATCACTTAAAAGGTAAATATCACGGCATGCTGCAAACATACTAACAAGTGGTTTCTGATTTGTAGATATATAAATTTCTACTTCACAGATCAAGTAGAAAATCTGCCGAAATGAGTTAAAGAAATGATTATGCTTTGATAATAGATTTATCCATCTTTTAGTACAAAATATCTAAATTCTCAGACCAGACGAATTTTTTCAAAGCAGACGATTAGCAAATACATCAATAAATTGGCAATTTGCACTATTTGACATTCATGGGAGAAAAGTTGATTATTTGGATTTTCACACGATTCTATATTTCAATGCAAATATGCTTAATATTGTTTTAGCAAGGAAAATAATATGAGTATAAAATATTTGGTAACTTAGTAATACGATTTTGTTGAACTTTTTGTAACCACATCTGAAAGCTTAGAAGTTCTAGGAAAACCTATAGAATTTATAAAAATCAACGATGGATATATTCTATTATGTAGTCTAGATTAGTCTTGTACATACCGCAAAAATAGTTTGGCTTTCAATATTTAAATATAGGTTGGATTTACAATTAGAACAAGCATAAATACCCTATACAGGTGTTCTAACTTTGAATGATCTTGAAATAATGTAAGTACTGCAGCTATTAACTAAATGCATCGCTTCAGTAGCTAATTTTTTTTGTTGATGTGAACCAATGTATATTCTCACTTGTGATAAAGGTTCTAAGTTTTTTAGGGAGTATGAGCAGCTATACTATTCTAGTATTTGATCTCCATGTCGAATGTTTTTTCAACCGATCTGACCAAGAGTCAAAAGCAGATGCTTCCATCACATTTTTCCCATCCCGTTGTCAGATGATATATGTTAGTATGCTCATAACCTCTGAGTATAAACAAATATGTTACATGGATTGATATTTGTATGAGACTTTTCTCACTATATTCACAAACTGTATTGATGAAGTAACATCATTTTGTGTACGTTAAATCAGTCACCGACAAGTACTTATCACAACATTTTTATGTTCATGTTCAAGATCATGATAATTCGAAAGATCTGAACGAAATCACAAGTTACGAAACATGAAACATCGCTTGAAACTGTTAGGTAATTGAAGGTTAATATGCAAATGTTTTAAAAACTACAAAAAAATTATAACTAAATTTCCTCCAGCATTACATTCCAAAGCATTTTGCACAATGTCATGATCTACAACATGAACGTGTTACAAAAAAGTTTTTCTCTGCATTTCAATAACACATTGACATTTACACTGCTCTATACATCACACCCAAGTAAATAACATTTGTGTATCTTACACTCTTACTGTACTCAATACTCAACTTCCATGGCTCACATGGTCTTCCACTAAACAAACTGTTAATCCAAGTCCAGTACTCCAGTCACCATAGTAGGATTAGTTTTATTAATTATCTATGACCTTCATACTTGATTGGAGTATTGACGATACTATTTTTTTACACTAGGAAATGACTGATTACTAATATTTTTTTTTCTTTTTCCAGAAAAAGAAACTGGAGGAGGCATGTATAAGACTAAGATCACCCGTCTCAAAATTCTCCATCACTCAAAAAATCACAATAAAACGATACAAAACCGATGTGTGAATAATAATTTTAACGTTCAAAACCCAAAAATAAGAAATACATCCATTAAATGATTGATGCCACCAAAGCAAAAAATGGATTAAATACATCATCACGTGAAGTTCTCGGCATGAACGTTGTTACTTGACATAGCTTCCAATTCTATTCCTGATTCTATTAATTTTATTTTCTTTACATTGTGCAATCTCCACTGTTTTTTAATATGTTGTTAGAAATGTTTGGTGGAAGTTGCACCAAAATAGTATTCGTAATATTCAGACTAACTAATAATTCACAGACAAAAAAAACAACTAGTTGAGAATTCTGTCGGAATAGAATATTCAAGAACATGATGCATATATTATATAACCAAATCATTAAATGCATTTGTTGAATGATTAACTTTTTTAAAATGAATTTATATGTTCATCGTGTCCATAATACCATTTGAACATCTATATGACGTTTGATTGACTCAAATATAGGAAAAGAAGAGGAAACAGGCCGAGATTGAGCGCAAGAGGGCCGAGGTGAGGGCTCGTATGGAAGAGGCCTCCAAGGCCAAAAAAGCCAAGAAGGGTTTCATGACCCCTGAGAGGAAGAAGAAACTTAGGGTGAGTATTTTGAAATTATCACACATTCAGTTGTAAGTGATGTATATACAGGGTGACTTTGAAGTTGAGTCATTAATTTTCAGATAATGATTGTAGAAGGAAGATAAACCAAAATATGTGTGTAAAAATAAAAAAAAAATAAAAAAAAAATGTTACCTTGTTTAATAAAGTATCCTCCCGACAAGTATTTCAGTGCGGACTTGTATTTGATCGTGCGGTCTTGGAGCAGCATGCCCTCACCTGTGAGGTCTTAAGTCACCTGATTCACGAGCCCTTTGCACTACATTAACAAAGGCACGAGGGGTTGGTTGCACTCGATTGGTACCCGATTCGCATAAATCCGTGATGCATCCGGGAGCATTTTGTAAAGACTGCCCCCCCGTAAATAAGAATCATGTCCACAAGTTCAGCATTTTCGTAAACATGTGCCATTTTTGATTTCGTTTGAGCCACGCAACACACTACTATTCACTCAGGATTTATCGACTGACGAAAAACATCGTGATAAACGTTTCAAATTCTTTCGCTTTTTTGTTTCCGATGCGATGAACCGGTCAGGCGGATTATATCCGTTGTCGCCAAACACGAGCATATAATAGGCAGGGCGGTACTCAAACTTCCAAAGGGCTATAACTTTGTTACTTTAATTTTACCAGAAAAATGGTAAAGGAAAAAAACATTTCTTTTGATCAGATCTACTCACTGTTAAAATAAATGACTCCACTTCGAAGTCACCCTGTATATAAGCCGTGACCTATAAGACAGGCCTTCAGACGCAGAGCTTGATAAGTTTATTCAACCACTTGTCTAATGCTCGTTGATCCCAGTTTCTGACATACTTGCTCCTCAAATCTTCCAGATATGCATCCTTCCATTTTGTTCTTCTTGATCTCCCTCTTTTCTGCTTGGTATTCGGAAGTCTCCATTTCCATTTTTATGATTGTTTTGTATAGCCTTATTTTAGATGTCCTATAAAATGTTTTTGACTTGATATTTCTCTTCAGCATTCCCGCACATTTATTGACCTTTCCGATTCTATAGTTCACTTCCGTTTCTTCATTTGATTTATTGCAAATCAGTGATCCTAAATACACAAACTCATCCACCCCCGCAAAAATCTTTTTTCTGTGCATACCATTATTTTTAACTACTTTTCTGCTTGACAGCTCCCTATTCTCATAAATTTATTTTTTTTCTCGTTTACCTTCAATTCTATTGTTACTGCAACTTGTATAAACCGACTCACCGCTTTTATCCTTAAATATTTTGGCGACATCATCAGCATACGAGTATGCAGTTAGATGGTGACTTTTAAATAATATACTGTCTGATCTATTTAGCTGACTCTCAATAAGAATTCTATCTAGCGTCATAATAAATTAAAGAGTAGATAATAGGTTACCCTGTCTTAGTCTTGTCTTAATCTCGAATTTTTCTGTTAATTACCTTAATTTAACCATAATTCTTGTTTTGTACTTGTGACGTTTTTGAATTTTCAAGGCATACCAAAATGATTAATTATATAAAAGACTTTATTCCTTGTGATCGTGTCATAAGCTTTTTGGCATTATATTCGTATCACGGAAAAAGTTTGATCAGTTGTCGAACTTCCCTTCTGAAAACCAGTTTGATAATTTCCCAACTGTCTTTTAGCAATAATGATAAAATTTGATATACATCTAATAGCTAACGATAATAATCTATACGAATGATGATTATAATTTTTTCCATCGTCGATCACATCTTGCCTTATAACAACTAAACGTCACATCAGCTAAGACAGGAGTCGAAATTCCTGAAAGTACAGGGTCCGCCAAAGGAACCTGATGAGTTTCAATATGAAACTACAAATGTATCTTTCAAGATATTTATTTTCATATATAAGTAATCGAAAGTGTATTACATGTCATTTTATGTATGGAAAATAACTTCCGTCAAATGATGTCCTTCACTGCGGACATACTCTTCCAAACGGATTCGCACATTCCCCATTACGCGCTGTACCATACTCATCGGAATCGCGCTAATTTCATTGCGAATGTTTTCGTTCAATTCTTCAATGGGCCTTGGGCTCGTTAAATATACCTTGCTTTTGAGATAACCCCATAACCAATAGTCACAAGCCGTGAGATCCGTCGACAAAGCTCTGGTTCCAAAAATGTGTTTAACATTTCCAGATAACGTTGCGAATTGACCGTGACAGAATTTCCAGCATCGTCCTCAAAAAAATAGGGTCCAATTATGCCAAATCGCGACACTCCGCACCAAACAGTAACCTTGCGACTATGTAGGGGTCGCTGGTGAAGTTCTCTCGGGTTTTCTGCACATCAGTAGCGAAAATTCTGCTTATTTACGTAGCCTGATAACTCGAAATGCGCCTCGTCAGACATAATTAAGCCACCTAAAGCGTTTTCATCCAAAAGTTCCAGAAGCTGGTTGCTTGCAGTCAAACGGTTCACAAAGTCTTCAGCTGTCAGTTCTTGAACCATCGCTAATTTGTAAGGGTGATAATGTAAATCCTTATGCAAAATACGTCGCACTGTTGTTTCTGAAAGCCTTAGACTAATTGCTTGTAGCCTATCTGAACGACGTGGACTTTGCTGCACCGCTGTTCGCACCCTCCCAATATTGGCTGGAGTCTGAACTGTTCACGCATTCCTGGTGGCTTAGCTTTCATTGCTGATGCAGATCGACGAAAATTTTTGACCCACAACTTAATTGTGTTACAGAACAGAACCATGACGTCCGACATTGAAATGTGTACGAAATAGACGCTGTGTAATGATCACCGAGTCGTGATTTTTAAAATACGTCTCGACAACAAATGCGCGATGTTCACTTGTCCACAGCTCCATGACTACTGAATTGGCATCTTCTACCGATGTCTTACCCACTGTAACCGATGTTCTACGTCAAAAAACAGCTCCGTACTATCCATTCTGAAAACGTCAGGTTCCTTTGGCGGACCCTGTATTTCTATTGCTTCAGATAATGCTCAATCAAAACCCCTGGAGACTGAACTAAGCAACGTTTCGGTTTTATATTTAAACAGTTAGTGCATCTGGAATCTATCATGTTTTTAAGTAAATATATTATAATTATTTTCAGTTGCTGTTGAGGAAAAAAGCCGCTGAAGAATTAAAGAAAGAACAAGAACGCAAAGCAGCTGAAAGGAGGAGAATCATTGAAGAAAGGTGTGGTAAACCAAAACTTGTAGACGAAGCAAATGAAGGTAAATATTGCATGTTAGGTTTCCCCAATCTACTCAAAATGATATCATTGGTGTCAGATATATCAACAGGAATATTTATTTAAGAGAGCTTACATGGTGGTGGTAAAATACCGTAAGCAACATGCAGCTGAGTAGGTTCGCAAGCACTCGCATAATAAATAAAAACATACAATTTTAGAAGGTTGATAAGTTATATTCACAAATGTGTGAACCTCTTAAATTAACATCTAGCAACAATACAAATGTAGCTGGTGAGGGGTCGCTCCAAGTATTTCGACTGATTGCTGAAGCCTGGATCCAGAGCCATGCATGACATCTGATAACTATGCTAAAAGGATCTTGAATATGTTAGATAAAAAGTCTGGCGGCCGTTTCGTTAGAGAATTCCTTAATTACCCTAGTGACACGAAACAGCGAAATGCTTCCTATGTTCAAACAACAGCTTAAGTTGATTATTGGCAAGGGCCTTTAGAACGGGAAGGTACTTGGTTTTGCGTTAGCCCAGCTATTCTATAAATATGAGAATTTATTCTGGCTAAGGGCTGTCCTCTGGCTTATATAAGGGAAACTCTGCTGGGTCGTATCACCAGCTCCTTCAATATTATGAAAATTTGTCTTGACTTTAATCATTTGTGTTTACACGCTTCCAGGCCCCGGTGGGGGCTCCATATCATATGGCTAATTTATCGGTTGCTACGTCACTGATCCAGTCCTAAGGAATCCTTGAAGAGGACGTATCAGGAGGCCAATGAAGCAAAAGTACTCAGTTCGGTATACTTCGGGACTTTTAAAATCATTTGTGATCACTCATTATAGATACTCCTGTTGATATACTGATCATTTACCTGTTATCTTAAGTATTAGACAGCCTCCTCTCTAAACAGGCGTTTTTATGCATGTTAATGACAAAATGTTTCATGACGGATCACAGTATGTACTACATCATACTATATATTGTTTAGCGAAGACTTGTACAAAAATTATATCGTATATTTTTCGTAGAACAATCAAAAAGCATTTGCAAGGCTTACCAAGACAGGATAGTGAAATTGGAAAATGAAAAGTTTGATCTGGAGTATCTTGTTAAAAAGAAAGATATGGAGGTTAGATTTACTGACGTATGCAAAACTGCACGTGCTATACTATTCGACGCTATAATTATGCACGACTTTATTGGGCTGCATTCACTTTTTATACTTGATTTTTTATGGAGAAAAACTTGGTATTTTCTAACTCAAGTTTACATAACCAGACCTTTGTTGGAAAACTTTTGATACAACGTAGTATGCTGTAGTAACTGAGTTTGCATGTTTCACTTTGAAGCCACACTGATCATTACAGCACAGACTGAAGAATGCAAATTTATAATATTCTACATATACAAGGTGATTAAGAAAATAGTGACAATATTTCTATGACAGATATACAGTATAAGCCAAGAGGCCTGAAATGCCCTATTTTCGAGAGACAGTGTGTAATGAAGTTGTAATTTCAAAATTTAAAAATCAAACTGTATCTTCGAATTAGACTGAGGTAATGTTTTATAGTTTTGTAGGTATAGTAATAACAATATGAACATTTTTCGTGACTCCGGGTAAAGCACTGACTTATCGGGGAAAAACTGTTGCATTTTTAACTCTGCATGAATTACCTCTCTTGAAAAATTCTTATCAGACTATTCGTTTTGATGAAAAATCGGCTTGAATATTTGATGTGAAATCCATATAAAAAACTTCAATACAAGATTCTTACGTTGCAATAATTTTCCGATAAAGATCTGGTGTTAAATTTCCGATTCCAAACCATGAAATAGCATGTATCATGGCAAACTGCTATTTTGGAATTGGGGTGGAATAAATTATTCTATGAAAGCTTTTCTCCTTCCGGTATTTTCAATCTTTTTGCTTCAAGCTTTTTTAAAATACGTATTTTTGCGGGAATGCAGCAATTTCAGGTAATAAACAAAACTCTAATCTCTTTATTCTTTATAATACTATCATATCTGTTTACTGTTGTCTACTATATCTTGTGGTAACAACGCTTAACACTGTAACCGATAAAAAAGAAAAGAAACGATATGTTACGTGAAACAACACATGATTAATCTTCCAAACAACACGACGTGACGACTGTAAAAAATAGCCTTTATTATTTTGGGTATGCAAGAGTATATTCAACCGTTTTGGCATATTCGATGTGACATATAAGCAAAATTTTTATTAAAACGGGTAATATGATTTGTCACTGCATTTTAGGAACCGCAAAACAAGTATGCGAGATGTATCACAAACGCATTATTGAACTTGAAAATAAGAAATATGACCTTGAAAAAGAAGTGGAAATGAGAGATTTTGTGGTAGGCATAGTAATTCAGATATGCTTGAGAATGTAACACACGAAGTATATTTTAGAGCTTTTATGCACTATACTTTTTTGTGCCCAAATGATTGTCATATAGAACTTATTTTGACAACTATATCGTGGATGACTGGAAAATTAAATAAAAATGTCTATGGTATGCTACCTAAAAGAAGCCATCAGTAACTAACTGTACTATAGTTCGCAATGTTATTAACAGCATACCGATACAGACCACCTCCAGTGAACAAACTCTACAGATACAAACTCTCTACAAAACACGATCACAAATATTTTATTCAACTTATCACAACTATTACTTACCTTGTTCTTATAGTTTTATGCTACACTCCCAACTCACAGCTTGAACAAGTAATCTTTTGACAAAAATAAATTTGTTGTCTAAAAATTCATTTGTATAACTCCCTTGTTTAGACAGACTCAGAAATGAGGTCTTTTGAAATTGAAGTATTTGCGTTCTGACACTGGACATTTCAATTACTTAGCAGATATAAAAATAAGTATAATTAGATTAAAAAAAAAAATTAAAAGCGCACAGACTATAATAACTGAATACCGAGATATCTTGGCAGTAACTCGTGGAAAGGGCAATGTTTGTCAAGGGTCTCAAAAAATTAATCTCTGCACAACCAGTATTGGCATACAGGAATGTGATTTTTCATAACGCAAAATGCTTAAAGCAGAATTTTGGTTAAATATCAATTGATACAAAACCCCACAGAACCCACAAGTAGTATTATATTTGTAGGTCAGCAACTACATCTGTAGTGGCATATAAGTATTTCCAGACATCCAACATGGACTTTTTTGAGTTTTTAATTTTTATTTTGCCACATAAAAAAGTGACAATAATGAATTGTATGCTTTGCTTTTTGCTCCCTTCCCATCGTAGTTTATAACGATGCTTATTTTCATGTAAATAGTTTTTTTTTTTGAGAAATATGGCAAGGTAACAGCCATATCATGTGTAAAGCATTTAATCTCGATAATAAAAATAATTCGGAAAGTTGTTATATGAGAAGGTACTCCACGATATATCAATGTACGCACGAGTTGAGTATGAATTAAGCAATCCAGGTAGAGATTAAAATGGTTTAAAACTCGAGCACTACAAATGTTGAAAGGTATTCACTCAACTAACTGTATTATTTGCATAATAACGAAATGACTGAAAATGCATGTAAGGACATCTTAAAATAACTAAATAATTCATATAAAGTCATATACCTGTAAGTGTGTATCTTTTTCCATAAAACCACGGTATTTACCGTTTATTTACTGGAAGTTAAGCAATGTCTTGTCACCTAATTTAAATTAATGTACAATGCAAGTTTGTTGGTAAGTGATAAAAGTGGTACCGTAAAAAAATATTCAGTCTGTCATGTAAATCAAAGGTCATCAAATACATTCTACACCGAGAGCAGACCCAAATAGTAACAGAAACATAAAAATGTATGATTTCTTTTAGCCGAACTTCAAACAGTTTGTAGAGCCTATCACGCAAGAATCGAGAAACTTGAAGGGGACAAATATGATTTAGAGGTTATCGAACGTATGAGAGACTTTGAGGTATACACGATGAACAGACGTTGTACCTTACCATTTTCCCCTAGAAAGCGTTTTCGTAGATAGGCGGTTTGCAAACAAAATTAATACATTGCTGAGTCAAAATAAAGGGTTCATAATCGAAAACCTACCGTCACCTGTTTACCAGAGCTGTTTGCGAAAATTCAATACATTTGGCGTTCATACTTTTCTGAATTTTTGGTATGAAAGTAGAGTGATGCACTTTACGTTCAAAGACATTCATACAACATCATCTTGAACTCTGTCCCGAGAACTATCTCCGTAAGTACTTAATCATTTTCAAAAAAATATTATTTCTCCATATGGGGAGATACCAGAATTTCCAATCCTTGGCTCGTCTATAACTTGAAAAGTGCGGGTCGGATTTTGACCTCACCTGTATTGATTAAATTTACAATATTATACTCTCTTGAGTCAAATCTCTTCACCATGTTTCTGCACCAAGTTCTCTTGCCAACTGTTCTTCAGTATTGTGTCATTCTTACTTCTGATGGCAGACCTGTATATAGATCATCTTCTAAACAAAATAAGCTATGTTCTAAATATAATATATAAATACAATCTCCTGATAATGATTTTTCAAGTTTGTGATAGTGCTTATATGACCTTTAAGTTTCATATGATTGGTTTTAAAATATTTATGTTGATACTGCTAGTAAAAATAGAATATTACCCGAATTATTCTTATAAGAGCCAAAGTAAATGTTTTTCTAGGGATTACTCAGCCAAAAAAATTGTCGATTTCATTTAAGCTTTGACTAACAGTTCTAAATTTCCAAACTGTGGCTGAATGCAAATATCATCTTAAGACGGTGTTTATGTTCGGATTGTAAAATGGTTGCGTTTGCCATTACAATGCCAACCTTGCTCTGATATGTTTTCACTCAATGATTCCCAGTCCTAGCAGATGGGTGTCTCTAAGTTTTGTAACAAAGTCGTGTAGTACAGTCCTGTGCCAGCTCAAAGTTGCGGTAGGATTTCCTTTGTTTTGTCTAGCAGTGTATTTAATAACATCATTCTCTTGTACATACTTTTCAATTTTGAACGATAGTAGAAACAACCAATCCTGACACAATAGTTACTTAAATTATAGTTGAAAATTGTGAATAGTTTATGTCTTGTATATTGTATCCAATCTATCAAATTAAAAGGTATCAGTATTGCATATTAGTATCACGAAAGTTATCGGGCATTACTTGAAAATACAACATTTGATGCTGATCGCTGGTTCCGTTTTGCGATTCTAGGCCAGCTTAAGAAGATTTGCAAAGAGTATTATGACCGCATGTATATTTGCGAGGAGCAGAAATGGGATTTGGAGCGGGAAGTTAGAAAACGTGATTGGGAGGTACCTATGCCGCACACATACATATGTCACATATACAGCAGAGTGCTCATATCATACGTTTTGTGCTTCGTTATAGTATTTTTCCTCGAGAAATATATGAAAGGCCAGTCATCAATAGCAATAGTATTAGTATGCCAACGCAACGTCATGATTTCAAATATGGTTCATATAGAAAAATATATATATGTATTTTTATATATGAGCTATATATCAGATAATCAACGTACGGTTTGCAAATTGATTTGGAGTACGTCCATTGATTGGCCTATCAGTTGGTGGTTTATAAATTGGTCACAAATAATGAATTCCATAAGCAAGACAACAAAACTCTGTATCAACGTATTCAACTCTATAACAATACTTAGCAGGATGCGTATAACTTACAGCAAACCTTGATTATGTTAGTTAAATTTATACTAAATGAGAACGAGAAAGACTACAAATACATTCATCGAAATAAGACAGCGTGAAGCGCCACATATACTGATATGTTATATCTGGTTATAATAAGTCCAAGGTTGCTGTACTAGATATATTTTTGATATTTATTTACAATGTTGCTGATTTTATCAACTTACAATTTATAAATCGCCAACTTTATCATAAAAAATAAACATGTATACCTTTGTTGTGAAAATTGTGAATACTAAATAATTAAAATACGTATCATGAAGTGTTAAGCCGTAGTTTCCCATCAATCTTCTTTCCTCTATTTTACTAACACTTTTAACAATGCTATATATATTTTTGCTTATTACTACCTAATCAGCATAGGACCCGTTTTTGTCAGATACTCAAGAAGATTTGTAGCTAGTATGAAGCCGAGTATGAAATCGATTTTTTTAATGTATTAAAAAAAGTATAACCACAGTAACTTTTCAAATATTTGGCAGAGCCACCGTGTATAGCTGACACTGACAAAAGCGTATCATTTATGTTTTTGCTATTTTATTTCTCTCTCAACAATATTAACTGGCTTTTCTGACGCTACTCAGCAGAAATTGTCATGCTGCCCCGAAAAGATTGTAAATTGATAAATTTTTAAAGCTACCCTCATAACTCAAGCTATCTATGTTTATGGCGTTGGTCTCTTAAGTATCCTTACATCAACCTTCACATCTTCACAACTGTGTGTACGATAATAAGCTTCTAGCTAAAGCCTTAAAGTTACACGTTCTTTTTTGTGTGCTACTAGTTGATATATCAATTAGTTAGTACATTTGAGAACATATTATGTGGTTTCAAATACATACATATGTCGCTTTTGGGTCGATTTTTCTTGCCTAGAATCATGTCATATCATTTAACCTATTTAATGTAAATTATATCATACGCTTATTCCCTTTTGTAAAATGTTATGGATGGAGTGATGTATCGACAAAATTCATATAAATACTGATAATGTTGAAGGATGTGTATAAAGACATTCAATATTGATTCTGGTTGAGACGTACTAATATATACTAAAGAGACAAACGTCAACTGGCAGTGCGAAGAAGAATAATAATTCGCTAGAAGTCAAATCAAAAGAGTGCTTGTGTTCAAGTTGCAATAAACTATATTTCCATGGGTCTGGAATATATTATTTACAGTTCATTTGAACCGAAAACTTTCATAGAGTAATTCTAAATATATTCTTCGTAAGAGACCTGAGAATTCTATGCTATATCGATACGGATTGCTTAGGATTTCCGATCAAAGCATCAACCAAGCATTAAAGGTGGTCAATTAAGTTAAATGCATTTGTAAAACATTAGAAATTAAATAGTATACGATACTTGTTACATATATCTAAGATTTCCAAAAGAATTATGTTCAGAAAATCCGATTTAGGATTTACTATAATCAGAACGAGACATCAAAGTATGAATCATTTCCATAAATATCCTCTGAAAAAGGCGTAACTAAATTAAAAATTGGTTATAATTTTGGTAATAATAAGCTTAAAAATAATTAGCCAAAAAAAAACAAAAGTCATTTCGTGCATGTCTTGATCAAATAGTGAACAATCTTGAATAAATACCCATCATTTATCCACTATTACTTGGTAGGCTAACTGTAGCTTCAGGATGAAATACCTACTATTTACCTCTTGGGTAGGTATGTATTGAGACCCATAGGAATATACAAATGTTACGTCCCGATGCTTTTAACTTCTTCTTAATTTTTTAATTTATCGCAGCTTTTGCAAAATCTTCGCTTTAATAAAGGCGTCGCTATTATACTCCTAGCATGCTATCTGAAGGATAGTTTCACGCCTGAAAAAGCTTCCGCCCTAGGGATACGGCATGGCCCTTCATGCTCTACAATGATTATTTTGTTTTACTGTTAATCTTTAGTGCGATGGAAGGTGTTAATCTTTAGCTTCACGAAGCAACGGAAAACGGAACCAGCCTGAATGTGCCATGCCCTGTCCGAAAATTAGTCTCCCAACGTTACATAGATTTATACTTATTTTTGGTGGTATGGCAATGAACCCAAGAATTGAGGGTGATTCACACTTTTTGGCTAAACAACATATTCTCCAGCGAATGAGGTAATGCTTGGATAGTTCAAAGACTTCGTAAACCAACGATAAGTAGCCAAACCATATAAAGGTATCACCTCATGATTATCAAAAAATTATAGATTATGTGCAGCCCTTGATGAACATATGAGGTGTATTATACTATAAAGTGTACAACCGCTCTAGGCTGTAGTAGAGTAGAATACGAAACTAAAGTTGGCTCATAAATGAGCATTCTTTACAGGCGGTCAATCATGACAACTTTTCCCACTAACTGTCAAATATTCCGAAAGGCTGAAGGAATAACATTTTAACATAGCAAAGTTCAAGAGGGAAGCTCGACAGTTGTACTTGTATTTTCCATTGATCCTTTTGAAAGGAAAGAATGGCATAGCTAAATGGCAGGTAAGAACTCTCGTGCATGGGCCGCAATTCCGGAATGAACGAATCAGAGCGATTGACATGTTTGGGTAATTACTTCTATCTGGGCAATCAGGATAAGAAAGGAAGATATAAACTTTCGATACCATGATCCGAGGTCAATAAAATTCATTCAACTTCTGTTACATCATGAGGTGCATGAATTCTGAGAATCTAGTAATCCACAACTGCTCACGTCGTAGTGGAATCAATTTTTGCTCAGCACTGGGCGACATTAAAAATATTATTCTTCATTTTCCACAAACTCTTTGCTTGTCGGAATCATAATGTATGGAAATAATGTAAAATTAAAGTAATACATTCAGCGATATCCCAGCCATGGCAGCATCGTGGCGTAGTTGTAGATGCTACGTCTTTACTTATCAGTCCCTGTGAGCTGCGCGGGTTCGAATCCCGCACCAAGAGAATTTTCACCGTGTGACACCCCCCTTTCCCCTATAGCGCTTCTTGGTGGTCCAAGTATAAAAAAATTTTATATTTCTCTTCTTCATCTTGTTTCATTGACATAATTTAAACACCTGAGGTATAAATCCATGTAACTATACGTATTTGAATTAAGTATTTCCTTTGTATTACAAAGGGATTGGTTATGTTCTCATTCCAAGAATTTAAAATAAAAAGATGAATTGAAATAATTATAATTTGTGATGAAACTAATGTTGATTATTTCTTATGTGTCTAACAGAGGGGGTTCAAATATATATGAACAACCATTGTTTAACACTATGTTTCTCTTCTAACCTTTTGTTGCAATCTCTGGGAATTCTGTGCGTATATTCGTAGGTAGCTAAAACCTATGGTTCCCAAGATTCTATTCATCTTTGCACCATACCACACATTTTGAAGTAGTGAGTAGATGTTAATTAATTTTCTTAAGCTGAATCACTGATCAAGACCAGGTGATACCCTAGAATCACACCAAAATATCCCTAGACCGACGCTAGGTGGGGTACTTGAAGCGTATAACTACATAACGGAAACAGCCACGCAGATTTTTGGTCCTCAGAGAAATAAAAAGCTTTTTTGATGTTTCTCTACCTGTATAGTGTGTATATATAGATATTTTGTAGAAATAAAAATCATGTTTTTCTATAACTTTCATCTGGAAAGGTTGTAGTATGTGAACTGATAGAAACATACAACGAGGGTAACACCCAGCGGCGAGGAGACAATTTACTGTGTACTGTCAACCGAAATATTTTTATCTGAAGGATGTCTGTATACAGTCATATGAAGTGATTTAAATTCAGTTAAAAGTATTGGATATTTTGTACAAAAGACTGATTACAGAATAGATGGCGAAGATTAAAATATGCGTGAGTGCATACTGACATTAATATACCTAGTAACTTTTCAGCATATGTAATACAACTTGTTGTTATCAATATCAATTTTACTTATCCGACATGAGTCGAAGCATCAATAGTTCTGTCATTTACATGTACAAACTCACTTTCCAGATGAAATGATGCATTTTTATATTGTAGAATTCCTTTCTCGTTTAATGTATAGTAAACGTAGTTACCTTTAGCTTTATCTAACTCGCTACAGCTTTTCTAACAGCACTTTATCCACCAAGTAATCGTAAGCCTTTCTTGTGATCACACTGTTGAATTAACTTTCCACAATTTTGTTAACTTTCGAACAGTATAACATTGCTCATCCAAGAGTCCATCATTTACTTGTGTAATATTGCCATTGTACTTTGATATCTAAAATCAACAGTCACTGTAAAATAAATAAAATTGGATGAGCAATAGAATGTCATATCCAGGAAAATTAGTTTTTTCTAACAGAACTGCCTTTTTGTAGATCGCCGAACTGAACAGCCAAGTCAATGACCTGAGAGGCAAATTGTAAGTACTTTGTGTTTTAAGCTCAACGATTACTCTATTCTTCTACTTCTTTGCTGAAAGATTAACTTACATCTTCATATACAAACTTTACACAAGACAGTTATGACAGTTATTTGTGTTTGTGGTTAGCTGGTGGGAGCAATTTGGCTCAAATATTTTCAAAATGGTACTACCAGTTGTACCGGAAGTAGATGCCATCTTGCTTATTTTGAGTAAAAATTTATTTTTTGGATTTCACGCAAGAGTCAGAATACATAAATTTCAACAATTTTGACTCTGATACTTACCATATGGTTTCGTATAGCATGGAATCTACTTTAGTAGATTTTATTCCAAATTTACAAAACAAATAGTACAGGGTGGTGAAGAAAAGTGAATGAAAATTATATTTTAAAAAACGCAACAGATCAATTATTTCAAGTGTAAACCACCCCTCATTACAGTTTCATAAGGTTTCGCAAATCAGTACTTTCCGAGTATAGAAATATTTGTTTTTCTCCTGCTTAAACGCTTCATGTGTTTTTTTCGATCAGTTTATCTCAGTTGGTCATGACGCGGCAACAACGTGATATCAGGTCGAATTTGTCAGACACTGGTGATGGTGATATCCCAATTTTACTATTGATTACACAAATCGTCTAACTTTGTCTCCAGTTTGAGAGACATTTTATAAGAAAAAGACCATATTCAGTAGATCTATTACTTCAAAAACGCCTTCTCACTGTTTGAATTTGGACCAAATTTTGCGCCCCGGATTAGTGAAATCGGGCCTTAGTGCTTCGCCTGGTTCCGCCAGTAGCAGTAAAAACCGAAGCATTTGGTTTCTATATATGTGTTCGACATTTCGACCACACTGAAAATGTGAAACGAAGTCTACTAAAGCTAGGCCCCTACTATACGAAGACAGACAAAAATACGAGAAACAAGTGTTACAATTTAATGGCCTGCATTTGTCATTTTTTAAGTTTGAAAACAACAACAGTTAGACTTAGGTTAAGGATGATACACATAAAATACAGGGTAGCCCATCCATGTGTGGACGGAATATTACTCATAAACAAATACATTTTGGGAAAATCTATTTATGGCATGTTATACATGACATTTCTAAAATATTGGCAATTATACAGGGTGTCCCAATTTTGACCTACATATCAAAGTTGTGACTTTTTAAGTGAAATGCCTCAAATTATATTACATATTTGGATAAACGAATTCAAAAGAAAAAGATTGATATGACATACTATGGATTTTTGGTAGTTAGCTACTGAGATGCACGGTGTTTTGTCCAGAAAACCGTTCACTTAGGCAACCCCTCAATCCGCCATTTTGAAATTTGAAGTGCTAAATTTTGTAACAAAAAAACTTACACACCTCAGCCTTTATCTTATTTGTTACTTTTTCGAATTTTCATTTTTGCTCATACAGGGTGGTCAAAAACGCGAATTGTACTTTTTCTCAAAAAATTCAAATGCATCATCCTGTATATTTGTGCAAGTTTGAATTCAATTTTTTATAATCTTTTTTTGGTATAAGGTTTTGACTCAGATAAAATCACTAGATTTTGAGTTATTAAGCTTTTAATAGAACAACACACCAAAATTAAGGAAAAAAATCACTTCATCCATGGAAACAAAAGACAAACAGTGGGCTAGTTCCATATTGCCACTAAGAGTAGGTACATACAAGCTCCATTTATTTTGGAAATCTATCTGCCTAAACCAGTAAGGGTTTTCCGTCGCATAATAGTGCATGTTATGCCTGTTGACAACACCTATGCTGTTAAAAGTTGCCTCATCGCTAAAAAGAACCTTATCCAGGAAAGTAGTGTCTTCACTCACTTTATTTAGCATTATTCTACTAAGCTCCATTCGAGCTGCTAAATCCTGAGGACGAAGGCCTTGATGCAAGCATACGTGATATGGATGGTACCTATGCTTGTGAATAATCCTTTGGACAGAAGTTCTGCGTATATCAGTTTCTGCTTCAGTTTGCCGTGCACTTAAATGGGGATTCTCCTGTAACTTTAATAGAACCTCCAACTGATTCGCCTCATTGGCGACACTTGGATTATTTATACATTTTTTACTATATTCCACTGCTCCACTTGATTCAAAACGTTCTCGTAGTATGGAAAATGTTTCCAGCCTTGGATGTCGCATATTAGGGTCCGTTGCTTATAAATAATGCGAGATGCTAGGAAACTATTTCTTTGAGCTTCACCCAAAACGAACACCGTATTCACCATTTCTTCTTTAGAAAAATTCATTTTCAAACACGTTTTTATTATAATGCTCACAAACCTAATTTTGACAGTTTGTAACTAATCAACAATTTATTTCTTTCCAAGCATGATGCGATATTTTAGGGAATTAAGCCGCTCCATAAAAGACGTGCTAATAACCGAAAAAATAGCCGTAAAAGCCCTTATGTGTCTAGTATCAGAAAAAAGCTTATAAAAAATTAAATCCAAACTTGCACAAATATACAGGGTTATGCATTTGAAATTTTTGAGAAAAACTACGATTTGCGTGTTTGACCACCCTGTATGAGCAAAAATTAAAATTCGAAAAAGCAACAAATCAGATAAAAGCTGAGGTGTGTAAGTTTTTTCTTTATATAAAATTCAGCACCCGTAATTTCAAAATATCGGACTGAGGGGTTGCCGAAGTGGAGGGTTTTTCTAGACAAAACACCTTATATCAATTTTCTTCTTTTGAATTGGTTTATCCAAATATGCAATAAAATTTGAGGCATTCCATTTGAAAAATCACAACTTTGATATGTAGGTCGAAATTGGAACACCCATGGCCAATATTTTAGAAATGTGCCCTTAAATGTCACGTATATTATCCCATAAATAGATTTTCCCAAAATGTATATGTTATGAATAATATTCCGTCCACATATGGATGGACCACCCTGTATAATTAGAGCTTCTCACATATTCTAAAAATTGAATCAGATACAGGGCATTATATCTATAACAAGCAAGTTTGAAAGAAACCCTCATCAATATGCATTGATTTCAGTGTTAAGCCCACACTAAAGAAAGTATCCAAATACGAAAACAAATTCGCCAAACTGCAGAAGAAGGCAGCAGAATTCAATTTCCGTAATCAGCTCAAGGTCGTAAAGAAGAAGGAATTCACCTTAGAAGAAGAAGATAAGGAGGTAAGCTCAATACTAGTTGTTTTACGTAAAATACAAATGTATCCTCAACAACATGCACTCCAACCATTCCGATAATGTTGCACCATTGATCATAGTTATTGAACATTAAAAATATTTTATTAAGCGATACCAACGTATATCTAAATAAACATGGGGTTCAAATATGCCTTCTATCGATAAACTTAAAAAGCTTTTGAAAACGGGGTGACCATGAGGTCAATCTTCCATATTCACAAACGAAAAAGTAGAGGTGCATCTGAAAATTCCGACTCGCACGATAGTATTCCTGTTTTTAACGGATTACTACTAATGTTTGCACCCTGTACGATGAACTATAAAAATACTCTGCGCCACCATCAAGCAGATGTACTCTCGCTTCATTTAAATAAGATTTTTTGAAATAAATAGATATATGCATAATAAAAATAATCTTCGTAGATACATAGACTGTCCAAAAATGCATTACCTATTTTTTTCTTCCGTTAAAACTGTATACTTTATATATTCCTAGTCTTTTTACCTTCCAAAAATCATTTTTTTCATATAGTCTATTAATACAAACCAACCAAAAAATATCACAATGTAGCGTAAACACGATAGCAAAAAATTATAAGGAGTAATTTGAAATTTTTGTTTTCACCAGTCTTGTTTTCTTAGCTACATTGAATATAAAATATAATGCATACCATTATTTTTGGACAGATTATGTACTTATTATAAACTCAAGTATTTGATTAGAATCGGAAATAAAAGAAAGCTTGTTTGTCGTAAATCTTGAGCAGTATTTTATTTTTCGCAGCCAAAGAAATCCGAAAAAGCTGAGTGGCAGACCAAGAAGTAAATCATACCAGCTATATTTGTCATATTTCGTCACCTATATCCAGTGATCAATTGTTATAACAGATTATTTAATAAAACATAGACTCGTACTCGCCAAAGATGATTTAATAAGAGTATTCCTATGATACTCAATGCAGGATTTTTTAAATAATTTTTGGTTGCCATTTTTATGCAACATTTTTCAATCCACTTCACACCCAAATTTTTTATAACACCCCCTCCACATCCCCATTTTTGATGAGTGTGTTGATACACTTTAACGATTTTTACAATCCATTTTTTAAACGAACACAAGTTTTTTTCCATATTTTGAGTTTATTTTTATAAACATCGTTTATTTTTTTTTTACTTAATTTCAACTATTCAAACAAGGTGAGCTCTGTTGCTAATGTTGCTTGATCGCTTGTCCTCTGCATAGTATTCTTGCACCACTGCTTAGATTACTGCGCCATGAGTAAAACAATTTTTTCTAGAAACTGGCAATGAAAGTTGTAGCATGTCTCAATTTAAAAAAAATCATCAATTACATGTAACATCCTATACGACATACACCCAATCTTAGAAAGCCATAATATTAGGCTGACGTTACTGATTATAAGAGGAACTTCATGATCCTAATTTTAATCAGTTATAAAAATGCATATGACTTTATACTTTGCTCACAAATAACAACATAGTTGCTGTTTTGTAGTGTTGGCACTGCAGCTTTGCTAACTTTGCAACAATACTCTTTTTGGGCCCTTATCTGAATCAATTCACTGACATTATCTATAAAATGACAATTTGAAATTCCATTAAAAAAAAAGATGAGAATACGTACATGATATCCACTGCTTCCAGGGAATGTTTGTTTATCAAATGCTTCACACCCCCAGCACTCCTTCTATCTTTACTTGACATTCTACCTTTTTGCTTCTCATCGTACTTTTGGAAAATAGGTTACAGTAAAATGTAATAGTAACTTAAAATTGCTTAAATACATTTCATTTGTTGCACAAGTTTGAAATTTATTGCATGTATATTACACTCTATTTGTCCCACCTGATATACCACTTCGTAACTTTCCCTCTATAAAAAACATAGCAAATTTCAGGTTCCAGAAATTACTCGGATGGGCAAATATAGAGTGAGAAAGAAAATTTCAAAGTATGTTTCTTATTTATTATTTATTCCTCACTAGAATCAAAGATTTCAAAGCTCATTTTTGCCCACCCTCGTAGTTAGAATGTGCTGCATTTGTTGTCTGGCTGAAAACAAATGTTAAATCTGAAAGTGAGGGCCCGTATATTAACAGGAAATCATCAACACATATACGATATATGGTTAGCATGTCATGAATTGAAAATTCCACTTCTCTCAGTTTCTAAGAGCAATTCTCTGTTAGTTTATGGGCCTGCATCTTTCTTACTGGATTTACTCATATGCTAATAATGCTATTTGAATTTTTCAGAAAAAACCTGACTGGTCAAAGAAGGGCGACGAAAAGAAGGTACAAGAAGTTGAGGCATGATCTAATTCCTGTCAATGTTCATATTTTTATGATGTCCTCTCTATGTTTCCTTTCCTCTGTATTTTTGTTACCTCCAAGATTATTTTATGCAAGAACTTTAATCAGCATGGAAATATGTTTAAGTATGTTAAAGTATTTTGAGAACAAGATAAGTACGTTTTGAAACTGTGTATGTTTTATTTGTCTATCCCGCACCCTGCGCCGTTACTGTGACTTGATCCTATGTAATCATCAACAAAAAAAAAACGTTGTTATGTGATGAAATTTGTAACTGTTCCTATGTCTTCGTCACCATCTGTAATATCTTAGCGAATAGAAAAAATTGAGCTGTCCGGCATTATTGGATGCTTCTGAGGTATTGACTTCAGTTCAACGATGAATAGTTTTACTTGTTCTTAATGAATGAACTTTATGGTAGTTTTGTATGTTTGTATTTTCGTCAAGCCATATTAGAAACCTTTTGAACTTCTAAGGTCCATCACTTAGAATACTGAATATGTCCACTGATTTGCGATTATGAAGCAAAAAGAAAAAAATTACTCTCCGGTAGTCAATACAAAAGCTCATTCAGACCTCCAAAATCTATACTATATACTGAGGGCCATATCGGCAGACGTTCCTACAATTGTAGGATGCCTTTATGGCGTCCTTGGTTTTCATAGTTTTTCCTGTCCTCCAGATACGTTTTATCATCCTGAAATTTGTTAAGATTCAAAAAGAAATCATACACAATAGGAGAGTGATGACGCTCATACGGAACAGTCGAGATCTAGAAATACCCCAGCCTTTCTGAAGGAGCGAAAAGATTTCTTAAGATCTCGCTAAGAGTAACCGTACCCTCAAACCGTTAAGGTGAAGTATTTATTGCAGCGTATTTTGGTTAGGCAAAATTTGAATTTCAAATTGAAAATTCTGTTTTGATATTAAACCAAATGCTAATCAGCTGAGTGTTAACAGGTGCTAATAGGATTTATGAATAACTTGTGGTTTCATATATCACACTTTTCGCGGGCGATTTTTTGACTTTGTGAAAACAGAAGTTATTCGTTATTGTCACCTAGCTAATTAGCTTTTAGGACCTACAAGGGAAATTACATGATTTAGCTATCCAATAAACACCGAACGCTTAAAGTTTGAACTGAACATGCTTCCATTACATACTTAAACGCGTTTTGTTTCAGGAGGGTGAAGTTGCACCTGAAGGTAAGTACCGCTTTTATAGAAAAAATAAGAATCATCACTGATAAAAACATAGATAAATTGAATTATCGCTATATATACCAACTAACGTAATTTCTGCGAACATTTTCAAACGTATCTTTTTTTGGGCTATTCAAAATGTATGGATGTTTTTTCAGTTCTTCACATCAACCTTGAAAATCGTATGTCTACAGAGTACATAGACATGCGAACTCAAATTATGTACACATATGATTAAGGTATGAGCAGTAATGTACACAAAACTGTGCTTAGCTCAAACAACATCCGAAGATAGAAAATGATAATATTTCTGCCCCTTCAAGATAAGAAATGTTTTCCATACCAACGACTTTTTATTAACGTTTTATGCTATTTTAGATCCGATTTCACTATCTGGGGTTCAAAATTTGCCCAAGGGCGCAAGTTCCACCAAAAGACGCGTTTTAGTAATAATGGATCTCATGAGTAGAGTCGATTTCTCTCAAACTAGCGAAAAATTATACAAATTGTGTAAGACGAACCCATAATCCTCATATCAAATAAAGAAATTCTTCATAAATCACCTGGTTTAGCTACAAAAACCTATTTTCTGATTTGACTTGGGTGTAAAATTTGTTACTAGGGCAGCAAATTCAATCAATCAAAGAAAAGAATTCACTAAGTGCTCGAACCAAATTTGATACAATGCCTAGATTGATATGACAGGAATTACTGAGAAATTATTCAAAATTAAAAATATACAATGCCACTGCTTACCTGAGAGAGATAATTTTGGATAAGAGGATATGTTTTTAAGAATTCATGATGATGACTTATTTGTGAGTACCTATATACTATTTATATTTATCATAAGTTTTATTTATTTATTTATTTACGGTTTCCCATTACATATAAAAAAAAACATTACGTTTATCTGGCAGATTGCAATAGCTTTATATAATTTTATTTATATCGAAGCAGCCGCGCAGGCAGAAGCCTAAATGCCGGAACACCGCGGCTGCTATGATGATCCCAAAGAAATATCGACATCCTCGGGACAAATGAGCGGTCGTATCGGCCAGTTCTGGATGAACAAAGCTCGACACGGTTAGGATGGGACGCCAAAGTCAGGCGGGTCTGTCTGGCAGGCACATCGCAATCGGCTGTCGGCATCATGGAAGAGAGCTCTGAGGAGCAAATCCCGTTGGTGTAGCGATAGAAAAGAGCTAGATCGCCGACAGCCCGCCGGTGCGAAAGAGTCCCGAGACTGTCTGTTAGAGAAGAGTCATCGATCAGTCGGACCGCCCTCCTCTGGACAGCATCGAACATGGATACTGTAGTCGGGGCGGCAGCACCCCAAACGTGGGAGCAATACTCGAGGCTAGGCCTTATCTTGGCCTTGTATAGAGTGAGCAGGTCATGCGGAGAAAAGTACTTCTTAGCCCTAAACAAATATCCTAGCTTTTTCCCAGCAGCTGCAGCTATTGACGAGATGTGTTCGTGCCAGATCCAGTCCTCGATGATCTGGACTCCGATCAGCCTAAATGAATGGCTCTTTGACAGAAGTCGGCCGTCCATCGAAACTGGATGAGTGCTAGGGCGCTTTTTGTTCGTCAAAGTACAGTACTGTGTTTTGGAAGCATTGAACTGTACAAGAATATTGCGTCCCTAAGCAGTGATAGCCTCCAGGTCTCTTGTCAGAGAGGAAGTCGTCGCTAGTCTTCTTTTTTCCAGCTCAGCTGCAGAGATGGGCTTGTTACTCTGAATTCCTGCATGTAGAGTGCTGTCATGCGCGAAGCTGTGGATTAGGTTGATCGTGCAGGAAAGGAGGTCGTTGATATGCAAGAGAAACAGTGTTGGAGCCAAGACCGATCCCTGGGGAACACCCGGAAGACGGGTCGGAAGAAGAGGACGTTGTCGGAAGAAGAGGAGAACCCGTCAATTACGACGGATATCTTGCGGCCAGAGATAAAGTCAGCCACCCATCTGCAAAGCTTTTCTGGGAGGCCATATAATGGAAGTTTGCTTAAATGGGCAGCGTACCACAGCTAAGCGAACGCTTTCGTGATGTCAAGAGCAACGACATGAGCCTCACCATAAGACTGGATGAGTTTACTCCACAATTGCGTGACGTAAGCTAGGAGGTCCCCTGTGGAACGCTGATGCCGGAAACCATACTGCCTGTCGCTAATCAAGCTGTGACGTTCGAGGTAGTCCAGAAGCTCGCGATTTATGCACCTTTCCATCACCTTACTTATAACAGAAAGCAGAGCTACAGGCCAGTAGTTGTAAGGGTCGATCTTAGATCCTTTTTTTGGGATGGCTTGGACAAGAGCAAATTTCCAGTTGTGGAAGGTGCCGTATTCATAAGATATCTGGAAGCGACGCGAAAGAACTGGAGCAAGCTCCGCTGCACACCTCTTCAGTACAATGGCAGGAATCAAGTCCGGACCAGAAGCTTTGTTTAAATTGTTAAACCAAAGCAGAATGAAAGAATCATGTGATACCCAATCTACTTATATTTAAATCCTAACAAACAAAAGTGAAGTAGAGACAATTTTAATGTGCTTTTTGATGTGCCAGATATTGCTACTGAAAACATCTATATTGTAGCTCACAGCGGCGTTGCAAGATCTAAGAATTCTAGTAACTGGTTCCTTCATACCTAATTCGTAGAAAGATGTGGAATCGTAAACAGTTCTGTATTGCGTCTTTCACTAGCATTAAGATTTATTTGTGCAAGCACCTCTGGACAATCTATAACACCGTTAACCAATTTAAACAGAAAACATAAATCAAAAATTTCCCTGCGGCGTTTCAAGAGGTCGTACTCATTAGTCCTGAAGTATCCTGACTCCGACCCATTTTAATAGCTTCCTGTTTTAATAATGTACTTTGCACTGCTTTAATGGAGTTAATGTCACCAATTAAATTTGGCGACTATACAACTGTGTTGTACTCCAAAATACTCCGCAGCAAAGAGCAGTATAAAATACGAGAGATGTTTGGTAGATCTAAAAATGTATCCCAATATTTTATATGATTTAGAAGTAATTTCTCTGTGTGTATTAAGAGTTACTTTTTATCAAAAGTTATCGCTAACTGTATCAGTTCTCATGAGGTTATGATTTTCAACTTTATATTCATACGTGAGAGAATTTGAACTACGGCTATGAGATCTCTTTGTAAGATTTCCGCATCGTGGATATTTCTCACTGTTCTGAATAATTTTAGATCATCTGCAAAAGTCAAATAAATGCTATTTGATATAGCGTACCGTTTTTTCTTAAAAAATATCGAAGTCAATACCCGTACGCACGCCACTGTTAAAGCTAAAAATTATTTTTTCATTTAAAAATATGCAACTTTATTAACTTTCACTACGTACTAAATATCAGTGAAATATCTGAAGCGGTTTTGAAAATAATAATTAATTTCCATTTTTTTCCTAAAACTTCAACACACCGAGATTTTGTAAGGAAACATTTTTGGACCATAGTTTATAAAGCAAACTAACATTAATTTTTTATATAGATTCACACTCTTAAATATTCAATTTTTGACATTAATTTGATGTACCACACCAGCGTCAGGAGAAGGAGCCCCTCCAGCAGAAGGTGCTCCGCCAGAAGGAGGCGCTCCCCCAGCTGAGGGAGCTCCCCCAGCAGAAGGTGCCCCACCTGCAGAAGGAGCCCCGCCGGCAGAAGGTGCACCTCCAACGGAAGGCGCCCCACCTGCAGAGGGCGACCCAGCGGCTGAAGGACAACCACCAGCAGAAGGACAACCTCCCGCTGAAGGTCAACCTGCAGCTGAAGAACCACCACCGGCTAGTGGTATGTACGAGTATTTACAAACTATATGTTTTTTTCTCTAAATAAACAAAAGCTCCTAGATATTCTTCATAACAATAGGGGCTAGGTTTGCCATCAGTCCACATTTGAGAAGGGGCAACAGACAGGGGTAGTGAGACAACTAAAGGCGAGTCAAAGGTTGTGCGGTCATATGATAAGGCGAATGCATAGAACGACAGCGTCGGAGAGTATGAAGCTAATAAATTGAATGAAAACGGTAGAGCTGGAAACGAATGCGAAGTGTATGGAGTACTGAAATTGCTGAGAGCAAAGTGTTGGGTGAAGATAAGCCTTACCCAACTTGGAAAACATGTGCAATGAATGAAGAGGACGGAGAGGAAGAATTTGAAGGTGGGTGGATCGCAAGTGTGAATGTTGGTATGAAAGAAGGTAAGACTAATGTGGGAGGTACAGTAAAGATGAACAATGGAATGGATGGAGAAGGGAGAGGGCATGTCGTTCAATACTGCACACGGAGAGATGGTAGCCATATGAAAATGTCTTCAAAATGCAAAGGAACAGAAATGTGTCGCTGCTAACAGAAAGAGCAGACAGTCAGGTCGCCGTCAGATGCATAAATGGACGAGGGATGAAAGGTAAGATCAGGGTGAAAGTGACAGAAATGATTGAAAAACAGGAGATCGAATGGAATATAAAAATGGGCGTATGACAAGAGGGATGCGAGAATGAAAGATCAAGTAATGAGATAAAAGGGGATACTGGTGAGAATGGAAGAGAAGTACATGAAGTATGCAAAGAGGTCTGAGAAGGCAGGCTGGACCTAAGCTTGCCAGCTTGTCACTGGAAATTGGCATTTTCCGGGCTACTTAGAATAGAATATATTTAGAATAGAAAGGGTGAATGCGAGAGGGAAAGTGATGAGCAGTGTGGCAGCAAATGATAAAATTAACAGTTACGCAGTGGATATTTGGAACGAGTGCGCAAGTGTGACAGTAGTATGAACATGTATTTTCTTTGTGTAATTTTCTTTTTTATTCGTACTTGTTTTTATATTACGTTTGTGTTTGTATGCTAAAGTCGCAAGGCGGAGAACAATAAATTAAGTCAATCCACATTTGATCGACGCAGTCTCGTGTTTCACCCACCTAAATCCCGAATTCCCATCAGAAGCCTTCGTGACCCAATGTCAACGTCCAATATGACTACAACGTACAGACTTATTGAAATAATTTTGTAGTTTTAACTGGCAAGTTATGAAAAGTTTACATTCTTGTAGATGTTGACATTCTCTTTCCAAATGTCCACTTTGCTACATAGATTGTAATGGCAAGTGGCATTTAAAACAGTTTTTTACAATAACTTCGATCAGGTTTTTTCTTCACGAAACAATCTGTATGTCAAGTTGAATTACATTACATTTTCCATATATAAATATGTATGCAGCGTTGTTAGTGAATTAATAATTTTGGCATTCGAGGGCGGCCAAGTTTAAGCAAAAATAATTGAATATATGGAAAATCGTTAGTTCAATTACATGGTAGTTTCTTCAGTAAAACTAGCTATACGTCAAGTGAAATTAGATAACATTTTCCACAATTTATGTGGTCAGCATTTTTAGTGAATGTATAATTTTGGCATTCGAGGTCGGCCCAGTTTAAGAATAATCGTATAAACAGAAAATCGTTAGTTCTATTACATGATAGCACCACCCTTGGAATTTTTTTTTGTCACATTTTAAGACTACTGTATTTTTGATCTTTTAAAATTTTCAATTCATATATACGTACATATTTGGCGCGTGTACCACCACATTGAAAAGATGGTCAGCAAAAACTGTTTTACCAATTTCTAACACGTCTGTATTTTCAGTTTTATGACAAATTAAATCAGAAAAAATGATACAATTGAATGCACTAATTTTTTTTGTAAGTTATGTGGTTTCGGCGGGAAGCATATATACAAATTTTTGGGAGTATTTTTTTGATATGATGGCAGTATGAGGTTAGCAAAACATTCAGTAAGAGATGCTATTTAAAACTTCTTTAAAACATTCTAACGAAAAGACTGAAAGGAGATATTGACTAAATCAAGTTTGTAAATTTTTAGATAACTGATAGATGTTAAAAAAAGGTGAATGTGTTAGACTATTACTAACACACGGTGGGAATACTTTGGTCGAGAGGTCTTCAAATACCTGGGATCGTTGATCGCACAAAATCAAATCATACAATTTAAAGTCTGTTGGCCGCTAAATAAAATCACATGTGTAGGTATGACTCATTGCTTACGTTTCGGCCACCTCGGCGGCCTTTTCCAAAGTACAAATTAAAAATGACTGAGAATGTATTTTATATTTATCCAGGTGACAGTTGATTCATTTTGGCCGCTACTGTACAATGTGTTGAAACAGCGGCATGAACCATCGTTTTCCATCTGGGCTCTTGCGTTCTCAAAGTCGTTTGGCTGTTTTGAGGCGATGAGTCTCAGAGACGAGACTGGTACATCAAAAACAACAGATAACCTGATGCTCGCTCTGGAGGCACTGGACGCGTTTTGGGGGAGAGAATGATTACTTCTGGAGGTCCTGGACTTTCCTGGTTTTGCGCGATGTCGTTTTACGATATCAATGATGAGTTCTTGCGATCTCGGCATGGAACAAGCTCGTACAGATTGTTATTGCATCAGAAACAAATCAACAGTCACATGAAAGAAAAATACGAAATATACCATATTGTCATTGTCATTTTCTTCTTTTAAAAGGGCCATCGAGGTGATGGAAACGTACTAAAGTCATGAGTACTAGTCAAAGTTATAAGTCATTCTATACTATACAGATGGCATTAGGATGGGCATTGATTCATATGGGAATCACCATTTGTCGCAACTCCTGGCTATTACATATTCTATTTCCTCAATAATAATATCCCATTCTAAATTTAATAGTATACCAAATTTCAACGGGCTCTTATAAATTTATAGGATTCGAGACGTTCAAGCAGTTGGTACTTGAAGAAAATTACGACATTGTTGCTCTCCCAGAGACAATTCTGGCACCAACCGAAGACAAAGAAGCAGTAAAGATTCCGAACTATTCATTCGTTGAACGACGCAAAAACAGCGGAGACGGTGTTTTGTTATACATAAAAGATTCGCTAAAATACAAGGTAGTTGATTTGACTAAAGACGACAATCCTGAAGCTCAAGTCAGCTTCGAGGAACTATTAGAAAAGATGAAAAAGAGCGGTAAGTTGGATCACTCACAATGTCATCTTCAAGTTGCACCTCATCGCATGGTCAACTTGTTAAGGCGCCAGAAGGAGGATCATGATACATGTGAAAACATAGCACATACGTATTCACAAGACATTATCAGCCATAGATAGTAATTATGAAACGGAGTTAATCGATTTCAGACATGTCATTACGTATTCATCCCACCTACTTTCAATACATTGCACAAAGCAGAAAAATTAGTATAAATGGATTGCTGCTACCAGTAGGATAAGGTGAGGAAAAGGGAGGCGAAAAGAAGAGAAGCGAAGCTCTTCAAGGCATGCAACCTAAATTTAGTTCATCCCAGTCAAACTTAACATACATATTGTCAATAGTATCGATTTATCAGCTTAACATTACAGTATTTGGTAAAGGAGGAGGTGTTCCAAGCAACTCACAGAATGGCAAGCAGTGACAAAGAGAATGGAAGGTTGAAGCGACAGGATTACTCCGAGTGTATCGTTCTGACAGAAAGGAAGACAATAAATGAGTTAAAAGCAATTATACTTATTAAGCGCTTCTTCTATTTTCGAAAAGTTTATGAAACTGTTATTTTAAAGCACTATTTGCAGTGGTCTGGTTTTACCCTATGCATCAAAAATATATCATATTTCAACTCATTCATTTTTATTATCGTTTACATTTGTTAGCAGTATTCTATCATCCATGACTATAAACAATGACGAAAATACACCATACATCGCTTTCAATATACAGGGTGACGGGAAGATAGATGCGGAGCCGGTGGGGGGAGATAGTACAAGCCAATCTGAGTCGATTTTACTATAGGAACTACTGTCCGAAAATTAGCCGTTTTCCAATTATACTAATTTTTAAGATTTTATAAAATTAACGTCCTTTATACGTTAACCAAGTTATAAAACTTGAAAATTGGGTGTTTCATTTGATTTTTTTTTGTTTTACAATAAAAGTATTCTAAAATACGAAAATTGATACACAAATGTACATTATCGACGTTATCTCATGCAGTAAGCTTCAAAATAATTCAATTTTTGTTAAAAAAATTCTTCGTTCATCTCAAAAACTCAATTTTCTAGAAACAATCACCTACAAATGTTTCGTGCAAAACAATTTTAAAATATCTACGTTTCATTACCTTTCAAATGGTCTTCTATTCTACGAAAATTTGAAAATTTCTTAAGAAATGTTTTATTTGAATTACTTGAAGACAAATTGGTTAAATGAGCAGTTTCCGAATCGATGGATCGGTAGAGGCGGAAAAATCCCATGGCCAGCACGCAGTCCCAACCTCGCACCTATGGACTTTTTTATGTGGGGTCGCATGAAAACTTTAGTATACGTTGATCAAAATCCTGTACCCACAATAGAAGACCTCAGAAATACACACAAGAAATTCAAGCCTCTCTTAGAAATTCGGCGGTAGTAAAATCAGCTGTCATAAGAAAAGCACGTGTGTGCATTAGAAATAGATAGCGCCATATTGAAAATGCATTATTAAAATAAAAAAATATAGTTTCAAACAAATTATCCTGTATTAAGGTATGCTTTTGTAAGTATAGCATTTTTATTGCTTTTTCCTTCCTCCTCTTATAATAGTCATATTTTTGCCAATTCTTAATTGATTTGTGACTTTGATACCTCATTTGAAAGGTAATGAAACGTAGATATTTTAAAATTGTTTTGCACGAAACATTTGTAGGTGATTGTTTCTAGAAAATTGAGTTTTTGAGATGAACGAAGAATTTTTTTAACAAAAATTGAATAATTATTTTGAAGCTTACTGCATGAGATAACGTCGATAATGTACATTTGTGTATCATTTTCGTATTTTAGAATACTTTTAATGTAAAACAAAAAAAAATCAAATGAAACACCCAATTTTCAAGTTTTATGACTTGGTTAACGAATAAAGGACGTTAATTTTATAAAACCTAAAAAATTAGTATAATTCGAAAACGGCTAATTTTCGGACAGTAGTTCCTATAGTAAAATCGACTCAGATTGGCTTGTACTATCTCCTCCCCACCCTGTATACAGTGCTCTTCAAAGATGTATCTCTACTTGTCTTTTGAACGGAAAAAGTAAGCAGCCTGCAATTTGAGATGATGAAATTAAGGATACTATATTTTAACGTAAAGCGGCAGTTGAAAATTTCATGATGACTGCTGGCGCATCAAGACAGGCCCTTCTAAAAGAAAATTATATAACATACTACACGAGCCCAAACGACTAAATATTCGGAAACCTTTACATTTTGTCCAACCTGTCCTACAAAATAAGTGAACAACATTGTAAAGTTGTACCGAAAACTTTTTTTGATAGTATATACAAATTGTGGCATATTTTCAATAGTATCATTTAACTTAACTAATAACTTGTTACGTCGCCTTTTGCCTTAATTACCGTCTGAATTCTTGCCGGCATGGTCTTAGCTAATGCTTGTCAGTTTTCCTGTGTAAATATATTCCAAATTTCTTGCAATTTCACACACAGTTCAGGAATTGTTCTATGAGGATGGTTTCTCAAAGGTTGATTCATTTTATGGCAGACCGCCTCTATCACATTTAAATCGGGGATACTAGCAGGACAGAGGGGATATGAACGTTATGATCCCCAAACCATTTTTGTGTGCTCTTAGCAGTGTGGCATGATGCGCCGTCCTGCTAATAAATACAGTCTCCGTCTGGATACAAGTCTACTATGGTAGGTAATAATGTATTCTCAAGGATTTCTTGGTATTTAGCTGCATTCACTGTCCCATCTATAAAATGAAGACGTCCCATTCCAGTTGCAGACATACAGCCCCACACCAAAATACCTTTGGGAAATTTGACTATTTGTCTTTGTGAAAGGTTTCAGTTTTGGTTCTGATAACCCTTTTTCGGTGATCGCATACATCGAATTTGGCTTCGTCACTAAATATGACCATGCTCCAAGAGCGCTTTGACTTTGCCCAAATTAAGCGTCTTTTGGACTTCAGTTAGAAGCGGTTTTTCTTTAGCCTCATTAAGGAAAAAACATTTTTTCATTGCTTTGGAATAATAATATTATAAAATTTTAGTCCAGTTTCAGATATGTATCTTCGGCAGCATTCTCGTGAAAGCTGCATCCCACACTTTGTGTTCCACTGAGTGGTAATTTCCCTTAAGGTGTTTCGCCTACCCGATTTGTAGCTCTTAGATTCCATTCAGTTAGAATCCTCGGTCGACCTGGACTTTTACCGCGGACATCAGTACTTGCAGTTTCCCTATACTTTTTTACAAAGTCCGAAACTGTAGATTTAGGGACAACGAGATCACTTGATATTTCGTGTATTGACTTTCCTTTGCAAAACTGCTGAATAATCATTTGCCTCACTTTCTGATTAGTGGCTACACATCGTACCATTTCTGCACAGAAAATATAATTTCCAAATACTACCTACAATTTCCAACGATGTTGACATTCAGTATTGTGACACCGGTAGGCTCTCATATGTTTTTGCAAAGCCTGTTAGTCTCTGCTTGTCTCTAATGATATGTTTGTTGACCTGTCCGAACATTTAGATGTCATCATATTTTGAGATATTTCAGTGATTCTGTATGTTTTAAAGTAATAGATTTGAAAACATAGGTGCCGCTATTGAAATTAGATGTTTATTTTACTTCTACCATTATGCATGTTTGCCATACATTTTGAGAAAGCAGCAGTTAAGTCATGGATCCATTTGTACAACATGTAAATGTGCCCGAATATTTAATTGTTTGGGCTCGTATAAAGTTTTGATATTTAGTTGTTGAGTTATAACCAGTTCAACGTACAAGAACACTGACAGCACGCTAGTACGACATTTTGCAATATACTGCATTTATACTCTAGGGTCATAAAATACTGCTAGACGTTTTAAAATGTACTAAGATAGTGCTCAGCTGCCATCTTGAAATTTCCATCCGTTACCTTTATGCTTAAATATAAATATGTACATTGCATCGCTCCCATTTCAACTTGCTAACCTGTCACGTTCAAAAAATAGGTACAAATAAACCCATTAATGTTTGCAGCATTTTATCATGAAATTTCTCAAAAAATAATGAAAAAATTATTTACGTGAATTACTTCTCCAATTGTAGATGTTCCAGCGGAAGGAGAAGCAAAACCAGCTGAAGGATCAACAGAGCAACCACCAGCTGAAGGTATGTTTAATCAGGACAAAAACTAGTTTCTCGGAACGAATCAACTGCACCCTATTATTAAAATGTTATGTTTAGATAGTTTGTACTGCAGCGCCTCAAAAGCTACCCATTCCAGCAATCTTATATCTGTTATTGTTAGTTTTTGATATCAGCGATTTAAGACCGTGACTGGATCACGTATTTCAAATAAGATTATGGGTAAGCTGATATCCTCAGCAAAATAAAATCGCATGGAGCCAACTATCAAACAAAGCCTCTAAAGGCGTGTACTCACCAAAAAATCTTTCGCAAACGATGATATCAAATGTTTATAAATGTTTGTACGTGCTTATAAATGCCCACAAATACAGGGTGACTTCGAAGTTGAGTCATTTATTTTAACAGTGAGTAGATCTGATCAAAAGAAATGTTTTTTTCCTTTATCATTTTTCTGGTAAAATTAAAGTAACAAAGTTATAGCCCTTTGGAAGTTTGAGTACCGCCCTGTCTCAATAATAATATCATGTACTCGTGTTTGGCAACAACGGATATAATCCGCCTTACCGGTTCATCGCATCGGAAACAAAAAAGCGAAAGAATTTGGAACGATGTTTTTGCAATAAGGTATTTTATTCAGTTCAGTTATACATACAGTCAGTGTCTGTCGGTTAGCGTGTGAATAGTGTCTGTTGCGTGGCTCAAACGAAATAAAAAATGGCACATGTTTATGCGGATCGGTTTCCCAATCGAGTGCAACCAACCCCTCGTGCCTTTGTTAATGTAGTACAACGGGCTCGTGAATCAGGTGACTTAAGACCTCACAGGGGACCTCACGATCAAATACAGGTCCGCACCGAAATACTTGTCGGGAGGATACTTTATAAAACAAGGTAAAAATTTTTTTAAAATTTTTTTTTATTTTTACACACATATTCTGGTTTATCTTCCTTCTACAATCATTATCTGAAAATTAATGACTCAACTTCAAAGTCTAGTATATGTTGTCCTCACCGATCAAAACATACTCAAAAGACAGTCGCTTCCCACGCGATCTGAACGTATTTGTAGACGTTCCGTTGGTGTGTCTTGTGAAAAAGTAAATTATTATTTGAAAACGCAAAAAATCTACATAAACAGTGATTTGACAAAAAATGAGATGATGATTCAAAAGCATATAAGAGACAGAGCTAAAACGGAGAGAGCAAAAGGAAATACAGTCAAGATTGATTATATGAACTTGCTGATCAGTGGAGAAAAATGGAGATGGGATAAAAAAGACCAGGTGTTGAAACCAGACACATTGATTCAAAAAAACTAGTTATGTTTAGAGAAAAGGATATCTTGGAGACGACAGAAAATGTGGCTATGACAATGGAACAGGTAGGGAACAGGAATAAAAATAACAAAAGAAATAAGACGTTAAGTACGTATAAATTTAAAGAAGAGCAAATAAGAATTGCAACTTGGAATGTCAGAAGTATCTACGAAGCAGGTGCACTGAAAAACTTAGTCAACATAGTGAACGTATATAAAGTACACGTTCTAGCTCTTCAAGAAACGAAACTTAAAGAAACAGGAATATCCCAGTGCGAAAATTTCGTATTTTGTAAAAGCGGTGGTGCAAATAGACTTTTTGGACAGGATTTCTAATAAATGCAAAGCTAAAAGACACGATAGTAGAATTTAAACCTATATCGGAAAGATTGTGTTATCTACGCCTGAGAGGAAAGTACAGGAAAGTAACAATGATCAATGTACATGCCCCAAGTGAAGACAAGGATATGGATATCAAAACAGACTTTTATCAACAGTTAGATGACGTGATAAATAGTCTACCAAAATACGATATCAAAATAATATTAGGAGACTGCAATGCAAAAGTTGGGCGTGAAGACACTTATCGAAACGTTACAGGAGGGAAAAGCAAACATGAACTCTCAAATGAAAATGGCAAACTCCTGATTAACTTTGCAATTGAACAAAATTTCAAGATAATGAGCACTTATTTTGACAGGAAAGATATCCACAAAACAACATGGATCTCACCAGGTGGTAATACTGCGAATCAAATTGACCACGTACTGATCGAAAACAAGCATGCCTGCAATATACACAATGTTAGAAGTTACCGTGGTGCAGATAGTGATACGGATCACTTTATGGTAGTAGCTGTTATAAAACAAGAAATCCCGAAGAAACAGTTAGAGAGACAGAAGACAATCAAAAGGTACGAAACAAAAGCGCTAGAAGATACGTCAGTTAGACAGCAACTTGAACAAGCAATAGCGACAGGACTGCAAAACACACAAGTTGTGCAGGATATTAATCAGGAATGGAATCATATCCAAGCAATAATCACTAATGTAGCAGAACAGATGATGAGAAAAACGAGTACTAGAAAAAACAAAGAGTGGTTCGATGATGACTGTAAACGGGAATTGGAACAAAGACAGAAAGCAAAAATACAAATGGATGTATCTAGAACAACAGAGTCAAGGAAAAGATATGAGCAAGCCAAACGAAAAGTGAAAGAGATGTGTAGAAAGAAAAAGCGTGAATACTGGGAAATGGGCTTGAAAATGATAGAAAATCACATGATCAACAAAAACATTAAGAACTTTTATCAGGATGTAAGAAGAAGCAAATTGGGTAGTCAAAGGTCTTCTTGTTTCTATAAAGACAAAGATGGGTCATTAATTGGTGACATTCCAGGAAAATTAGAAAGGTGGGCCAAACATTTTGAGGAACTGTTAAAGCTATCAGACGAAGAGGAAAGGAACACGGAAGCAGCACCACTAATCGGAGATGACAATCAGGGACAAATACACGAACCAACGGATCTGGAAATAGAGGAAACAATAGGAAGATTAAAATACAATAAGAGTCTAGGAGAAAATGGAATCACAGCAGAAATAATAAGAGCGGGTGGACAAGATTTACACAGCGACTTGGAAGTCTGATCAGATATATATGGAATCAAGAGGAACTACCAGATGAATGGAAAAACGCCGTAATCTGCCCAATACACAAAAAAGGTGATAAAAGTTCATGTGAAAACTATAGAGGCATTGCCCTGTTAGACACTGCATATAAGATACTAGCATTTCAACTAAGGGACAGATTGAGCATATATGAAAATGAGGTTATAGGTGAATATCAAGGAGGTTTTAGAAGGGGCAGGTCCGCAATAGACCAAATATTTACAATGAAACAGCTGTTCTATAATAGCTATGAACAAAATCTTGGTTTACATGCATTATTTATTGATTTCAAGCAAGCGTATGATTCCATTGACAGAGAAAAATTATATGAAGCTATGAGACTGCTGGGACTACCAAGTAAACTGATAAGGTTAGTCAAAATGACAATGAACGGGACAATGAACAAAGTCACATTGGAAGGGAAAACATCTAGAGCTTTTGGCGTAACGAGAGGCCTGAGACAAGGGGACCCGCTATCTACAACATTGTTTAACTTTACGCTGGAAGCTATTTTACGTAATTGTGGTATACAAACCGACGGAGTTGTTTACTATAGAAAACATCAGTTGATTGCTTATGCCGATGATATAGCAATAATAACCAGATCCAAAGCAGAACTTGAGAAGACGTTTACAAGGTTAGAAGAAACTGCCAAACGTTTTGGGCTTCATATAAATGAAGATAAAACAAAATACCTTGAAATGAGAGGAAGCAATGAAGGAAAGTTAACAATAAGAAGTAGTTGCAGAGAAGGTGAATCAATTTGAATATCTAGGGGTCACAATAACAGATAAAGCAGAAGAAGATCTAGAAATTGAAAAAAGAATAGCAAAAGGGAGTAAAGCAATGGGGGCTTTATGCAAGATGATAAACTCGAGGTGGATATCAAGGAAAACAAAGGAAAGGATATATAAATCAGTTATCCAACCATCAGTACTTTACGGCGATGAAGCTTGGGTGTTAAGCCAGAAAATCGTACAGAAATTGGAACGCTGGGAAAGAAAAATGTTACGTAAAATATATGGGGGCACAAAAAACAACGATGGTACATGGAGAAAGCGAACTAATAAAGAACTGATGGAGATGTATAACCAACCCAGTATAATACAAAAAGCCCGAGCTCAAAGAGTGCGCTGGTTAGGACACGTTTACAGAATGCCGTCTCATAGGAATGCCAAAAAAGTTTTGTTTGGAGGAGAAGGTAGTAGAAGAAGAAGAGGAAGACCGAAGAAGCAGTGGCTGGAAAGTGTGAAAAAGGATATACAAAGACTAGGCATACCAGACTGGGAGGAAAAGACCAAAAATAGAAAAGCGTGGAAAGAAGTTGTCAAAAAGATAGAAGCCATGAGCCTTCAGGCCTGAGGCGCTGAATTATATATATAGAAATAGTTTGTTTAAAGACTTTACTCGAATGTTACCAGATGATTTTGATTTTCTGCTTTCAAAAAAAACTTCAGAAATATCCAAGTATGATACAAACTATAGACTGTGTTCCTCCTGAAATTAGATTGGCAATTACCTTACGCTTTTTAGCCGCAGGAGAATCTTATGCCAGCCTCATGTATCTGCTTAGGGTTTCAAAGCAGCTAATTTCTAAAATGGTTCCTGAAGTATGTACTGCCATTGTAAGAGCATTATCAGAATAGGCAAAATTGCAAGAAATCCACAAACAAGTACAAATCGTTTGATGTTACCGACTTTGGATGGAACGCTTACAAACACCTACAAACGTTAACAATTGTTCACATCGAGAGATACTGTGTCAAATAAAAATTCTAGAACCTGGTACATGCATAAACCTTAGATCGATATGTGATAGCGCTGATGGAAAACAAATATTCGACGCACTTTCAACCGTTATTTTTCAAATAATCAGTTAACATACGCTAACTATAGAAGATACTGAACTATCATCCAAATTACAAAAACCTTTGACTTTATAAAAAATGTTAAAAAATATCAGATAATTTTTGAAAAGAAAAACATAACGTTACAACAAGCTTTTTCCTAAAATATACTATAATAATAATAATAAAAGTATTTTAATCAACTTTAATACATCAGTGGGGTACGCATTCATTAGAGTAGGATACACAATCGGTGATTTGGTTGAGGCGTCAGAACAGAAACCTAGTTTAATTTCGCATGTTTGCGTAATCTATTCAATTCGAACTTAATTTGAATTTGGATTTAAGGTGTATTGAATTTCAATGCCGATACCACTTTTTTCTGAGAACGAATATTGATCGTATCGGACTAAAATCAATGTAATTGTGTAACGATATTGCATGCCAAACGAAAGCTGTATATCATGTTATGTTCTACAAAATCTAAGAATGTTATTATCTTCCATCTGATTTGGGCGGAAAACTGTCTTTCTCAACTGGACGGCTTTTTGTAGAAAGGAACCATCCCAGACATACAATTATTGAGCAATTATGCTTTAAAGTTTTGACAATAGGTACGATTTTAATTAATGGCATACAGGCTTTAAATATGTGCTGTTAATACAGGGTGGGCCAGGAATTCGTTAACATTTAAATCTAATACACCACGCAAGCAAATGCCACGCGAAGCGCGGGGAAGGGGCTAGTCGCTAGCTCGTTTCTCGGAAATTCAGTCGCAATGGATCGCTTCACGGGGCCGCAACGCGCTTACTGTGTGAAACAATTTTATTTAAACAACAGTTCGCTCATTACTGTGGGACGCTTATTTCGCGTTGAATACAATTTACACGACTTAAGTCGATTTATCGACGCGCAAACGTTCGGCTGAATTAGGATTATCCCACACATCACTACGCCGTATTTTGAGATTAGATTTGAAATTACATCCATATAAGATCGAGATAGTGCAGGAACTAAAACCTAATAATTTAAATTTGCGCAACTCGTATGCCGAAACGATGTTAGCTCGATTCAGTAATTTTGACAATCTCTTAAAGGAATCATTGGCCCCTACTTCTTTGAAGATTCTCGCGGCCATTCAGTTACTGTTAAATCTGCTGAGTATGTGAAAATGTTACGGGAGTTCTTGGCACCGATGCTAATGCAATTTGCTGGCTATAATCGTAAGACATGGTTACAACAAGATGAAGCCACGCGTCACACATCCAACGAGTCCCTGCCGGTGGTCAAAGAAATGTTTCCGGAAAAGCTCATTTCCAGACGAGGCGACATCCCATGGCCACCCAGAAGTCCAGATCTATCCCCACCAGAATCTTTAATATGGGGTTATTTAAAGAGTCGTGTCTACATCAATAAACCAAGTTCACTCCGTCAACTAAAAGAAAACATCAACGAACAGATGTCGGCGATCTCCCAGTCTTTACGCCGACGAGTATTCGAAAACTTCAGTACACGTTTAGAAGATTGCAAAAATCGTAACGGTGATCATTTAGATGATATAATTTTCAAGAAATGAATTCCAACTATTAGCTTTCTTGTGAGTAAACAATTTTTAAAATTTGTCAAACGTTTTTTCATGCAATTTTTTCAAATGTTAACTAATTCATGGCACACCCATATAATTTTCCTAAACTCTAATTTTTTCATATTTAGTGGGTTGGTTCCTATCTGCAAAAAGCCGTCCAAGCATAGGATCCACGTTTAACAAATACCCAATGTGCCTCTATAATTCCACAAACTCAAGGAAAATTGTGTAGATTTCAATATCCCCACAAATATGATACTTAGCACATTCAACTTGCCATCTAGAACACAGATTCAAATTAAGTGCGGATTTAGGTGGGGACGTCTCGCCCCTAGACTCCACTTTTTCCAATAAGGTGGTACAAATTGCATCATCAAAATTACCTTGCTGGACCTGAATCGTGGAGACGTACCCCTCCCACCCATAAATATATTCCAGCCACCGCTTTTCAATTGTCACACGAGCATTCGCTGCCACCCCCTCCCGCTCTCCATTTTTCGATCATAGATACCCCCTCCCCGAGACAGGAATCTTCAGTTTTTTTACTAGATAGTTTATTCTAATCCCTCAGTCCAGTCCGCCACTTATTTGTTAACTTACTTTAGCGAATCATTTTAAAGAATTTATTGTTTTAGTCTTAATTAAAATAAATATTTTTGTAGGAGCCGCTCCTGCAGAAGGAGCAGCAGCACCTCCAGCAGAGGGAGCGCCAGCGCCAGCAGAAGGCGCAGCACCACCAGCAGAGGGAGCTCCAGCACCTGCAGAAGGAGCCCCAGCACCAGCGGCAGACGCGCCAGCACCAACAGAAGGTGCTCCGGCTCCAGCCCCAGCAGAGGCCGCTCCGGCAGAAACAGCTGCAGCTGAAGCTGCTCCTGCTGCGGAAGCACCCGCGGAACCAGCGCCAGAAGCAGAAGTCGCCGTCGAGACGGTGCCAGAGCCAGAAAGCCAAGCCATCCCAGTCACGCCGGTTATAGAAGGTATGGGGTGTCCATTTGAAATCTTCCCACCGCGGATTTATCGAAAACCACTGATCAAAAGAAAAAACGCCGAGACACGTCAAAAGGTTTGCCAACGGGGACAACTTTTTAACCAAAAACTACTACACCCCTTTCACCCTCCGCTCCCCAGGGTCATCCCATTAAAAGTTTTAAATGACAAGGGTATCGGGTAATAACTTGTTTGAAAGGTCTTTCAAAGTCCTTTATTTTGACGTTTGATTTTTTTAAATCGATCGATTCGTTTTCAAGAAAATTAGAGAAATCTTAATTTATCTTAATTTGTTCAGAAAGAAAACAAAAACACCAGAAAGTATCACTTTTTTATTTCAATAAATGTTCAAAATATTGTCCGTTAGGGTTTGCCAAATCTACAATTCGTTTATAATTTAAATCGGAAACTGCCAACATAAACAGCAATTGGGAAGATTAGACGTGGCGACAAACAAATAACAACCCGAATTTTTTTCCGCATTCTTTTCATCAACATATATATCCTGAGCGAACTTTTATTGCTATACCTGTTTAGTTATTTGTTACTGAGGGAAATAAAGAATTTAATTTGCTGTCAATTACCTTTGTGACAATCTTGGGATAGTGAAAATTAATTTATTAATTCAGATTGTACTTCCAAAGTGGTTTACACACTAGCTGAAAGAGTGGAAATGATTCAAATTTATGGTGCCCAAAATTAATGTGCTCAGCAAACTGCAGTCAAGTTTAACACCAGATATCCGGCAAAGATAACGCATAGGTATTTTATGTTTATTTTATGTTTTGGACCTTGTTACTAAATTTACTCAAACTGGATCTGTTGCAAATAAAAAGCATGATCATCGGAGAGTTTTGGATGAAGCCGCTCGGGCGAAGAGTGCCTATAGAATGACCTGCTAGATCTCCTGATTTGACGCCATTACAATTTTTTCGATGGGGCCATTTGAAATCTATTTTGTTTACTCCCCAGCCTGAAAGTTTGGATGATCTTCGTCAACGCATCATCGAAAGCTGCCATGATATCGACCGATTTAAAAAAATCAAACGTCAAAATAAAATGTTTTGAAAAACCTTTCAAGCAAGCTATTACTCGATACCCCTTGTCATTTAAAATTTTTAAGGGGATGACCAGGGGGCAGATGGTGAAAGGTGGTTAAGTAGTTTTTAGTTAAAAAGTTGACAAACCTTTTGACAAGTCTCGCCGTTTTTTTCTTTTGATCAGTGGTTTTCGATAAATCCGCGGTGGGAAGTTTTCAAATGAACACCCTGTATAAGGAGGAAAGCAAAGATTTATTACCCAAGCTGGTAACCCTAATCGATTAGTGGGAACATACGCACTGATATATTCAAATGAGATAAAATCAGGTGGAATGAGAGTTAGAAAATCTTTCAACAACCGAAAGATTGCTTGTCAATTCTGTCAGAGCCGATCTAACAACTTGGGAGGCTCTAGGCTTGATCCGAACCTTAAAACAGTTTTCCTTCAAAAAGATGATGCTTTCTAGCTCTGGGTATCCTATAGCCTCGGGACCCTCGGGTATCTTACATCTCCCAATTTGGACAGACTGAACTCGAGTTTGAAACTGCATAATATGGGTCCTGGTAACACATTGACATCTAGGGAACACTTAGTTGTGTCCTGTGACCTGAGGCGAGGGCCAAAGAAGGTGCTCGATACTTCAGCTAGTAACAATCGCAAAGAGCAAGGATATCATGGCAGCTCCTAGAATACAAAGTTTTTCTGCTCTAACCTATAGAATCAAGGCGCTTGGAAATCTCCGACGCCCCGACACGGCCAGTCCGAGCCTAAAATGACCAACAGCTTTTGAATCAAGACCAGAGTTGCTCTATTTTCTGGCAAAGTTTCGCAGGCGTAGACATTTTTGAGAGTCAGATTGAGGGCAACCTTGACTGTCCGATGTGCTCTATTAGTTAGCTTTCAATGCAGATTTTATCTTGCGGTAAGCGGCAGATATGCTGACTCTGTTAGGGAACGTGCCCCGTAATACACGAAAAAAATTATGACAACTAAGATTTGCAACTACTTTAACTTGCATTCTTTCCAACTCATGTTAGATCTTAAAAGCTGGCAAAGACATCCTGCTACAAGATATAGTGTTTGAGATACCTGACGACATGCAGTCGTCAAGCATGCAGACACAGTACTTCCCCAAACAAGTTGGTACAAGCGCAAAAAAATCAACCTTCCAAAACAATTGATGCAACGCGACAAGGAAGCCAGGGCGGATTCAGGATTTCGTCTAGGGGGCGCGCATCTCAGTGGAACTTCTAGAATGTATCCTATTATTTCTCCTTGAATCCATTGTGTTCTATCTGGTCAAGGCCAGCTTGAAAAAAAAAACATGGAAATTGCTCAGAAATCCTCAGAAAGCCAATATTTTATTATACGAAAACAAAATAAGTACGTGGCATCTATAATTAACTAGTGTAATAATATTAAAGATTCAAACATAAAAAACTTCATAGCTCTGTTAACCGACAAAAAATAAATAAACCATTCTGAGGGACCCCGAGACATATCGAAGTCCATTCCACACAAAACAATGTCTCTGAATGCGAAAACGAACATGAGACCTAAAAATTCACATTATCGTATGTACGCTAGACAAGACAAAGAAGGATGTCTGTAGACCATCTATAGATCGTGTCTTGAGACTATCTCCAGACTGCCTATTGACAAATTGCGCGTCTACTAGTATGTAATAAGCTTAAGCTGAACTACCCAATAAACAAATCAAGTAAAGGGTGCAAATACTGACACAATCAAGCACTTCTATTATATAAGCAGGTGATAAAAATATCAATAGGTATAGCCAATTATTATTTCTTTTCTATACCGATGCAGCCGCGCAGGCAGAAGAATAAATACCGGAATACCACGGCTGCTATGAAGATCCCTAAGAAATTTTGTTAACCCGAAGTTAGTAGAACTGGGAAAAGCTTCCTCGTGTAGATTTTTCCAGAATCTCGACACCCTCTGGACAAAGGAGCGGTCGTATCGGCCAGCTCTGGATGTACGAAGCTCGACCATGTTAGGATGGGAGGCCAAAGTCAGGCGGGTCTATCTGGCAGGCACATCGCGCGGCGGCATCATAGAAGAGAGCTCTGAGGAACAAAGCCTGTTGGTGTAGCGCCGGTGCGAAAGGATCCCGAGACTGTCTGTTAGAGAAGAGTCATCGATCAGTCGGACAGCCCTCCTCTGGTTAGCATCGAGCATAAATGAAAAGGTCATGCGGAAAAAAGTACTTCTTAGCCCTAAACAAATAGCCTAATTTTTTCCCAGCAGCTGCCGCTATTGACGAGATGAGTTCGTGCCAGATCACTCGGTGGTCTGGACTCTGACCTGTCGAAATAAATGGCTCTTTGGCAGAACACAGCCATACATCGAAACCGGATGAGCTTTAGGACGCTTTTTGTTCGTCAAGGTACAGTACTGTGTTTTGGAAGCAGTAAACTGTACAAGATTGTTGCGTCCCCAAGCATTGATAACGTCCAGGTCTCTCGTCAGAGAAGAAGTCGTCGACAGTCTTCTTTTTTCCAGCTCAGCGGTAGAGATCGCCTTGTCACTCTGAATTCCTGCATGTAGAGTGCTGTCATCCGCAGAGCCGTGGATTAGGTTGATCGTGCAGGAAAGGAGGTCGTTGACCGATCCCTAGTGAACACGCGCGTTGACGTTGTGGGATGGAGAGGAGAGCCCGTCAATTACGATGGATACCTTGCGGCCAGAGATAAAGTCAGCCATCCATCTGCAAAGCTTTTCGGGGAGGCCATAGGATGGAAGTTTGCTTAAAAGGGCAGCGTGCCACAACTGATCGAACGCTTCCGTGATGTCAAGAGCAACGACGTAAGCCTCACCATAAGACTGGATGAGTTTACTCCACAATTGCGTGACGTAATCTAGGAGGTCCCATGTGGATCGCTGGTGCCGGAAATCATATTGTCTGTCGCTAATCCAGCTGTGACGTTCAAGCTAGTCCAGAAGCTCTAGATTTAGACACCTCTAAGTCACCTTACTTATAACAGAAAACAGTGCTATAGGCCTGTAGTTGTAAGGGTCGATCTTAGATCCCTTTTTTCGGGATGGGTTAGATATGAGCGAATTTCCAGTGTTCTGGGAAGGTGGCAGATTCATAAGATATCTGAAAGAGACGCGAAAGAACTGGAGCAAGCTCATCACCCCTCCAGTACAATGGCAGGAATCAAGACCGGGCCAGAAGCTTTGTTGATGTCGAGCGCCAAGAGCACTCGTCTTATGGTCTTATGCCTGAATGTTACCTCCCGCATAGTGTAGGGAGCCCTTTGAATTGGCGGCACTTGGGCGTCAGGTTGGACGTCCATGGTGGAAATGGCGGCAAAGATCTTGGCAAGCACTTCCGCATTGGCCTTTGAGTTCGATACAATCGTTCCATCCTGACACTTAAGTGGTGGAAGGCTACTGTGGAGAAGTTATTTTCAATCTGCTTGGCCAGCGTCCAGAAACACTGGCTACCATTGGGCTGTGACATTACCCTATGCCTAACTATTATATCGTGCTGGTTTTTGGCATTGCGAACCGCTCCGTTATATTTGTTTCTGGACTCGACGTCGGCTTGTGTGTTCTCTACAGTGGGGTTTTGTAAGAAGGTTCGGTGTGCCTTGATCTTCTGCTGGCGAGCAGTGTCACACGATTTGTTGAACCAGCTGTTGGACCCTGGCTTAGGCACTTTCACTGTATGAGGCATGTATTCCTCCATTTCGACGTGGATAATTTCGGTTATCGAAGAACAGACAGCGGGTTCTGACCGAAACCTAACATCCACAACACAGTGGTCCGAGTTAGACGCGGGGCAAAAAAGTAGGGCCCGTCACCAGCTGGGTCAGCCCTTGAGTAAGAGCGAACGCTTTAACTGCACGACCTGCTGCATAGGTCTTGTTTGAGCCCAGCCAAAGCAAATTATGATCATTGAAATCACCGAAGAGAACTACCTCCGAAGCGGGGTAATTGATGTTCAGGAAGTCGATCTTGACGGCGAGGTATTCAAGAAGGTCATCCCAGTTATGATCCGAGGGGAGCGATAAAGGCAGCAAATAAAATTGGGGGATGTTTTGGAGTTGAGGCGAAGCCACAGAATGTCCTTCCGGTCTGATTGAAGCGCACCTCGTAATTTGGTAAGCTAAGATGGTTAATCGGTGCGGACCCTGGGATTTTTGTCTCCGCCAAGAAAAGCATGGCGGGACGATTGGATTACAAGTAGTGATGAACAGCATCAATGTCGCTATTAATCACGCAGATGTTCCTGAAACAAATTTTATCTCCGATGTTCCCTCGAGTCCACCCTCCATTCCGAGAACGGAGTGAGTTTACATCCGGAATTCTTAGTACTCGAGGGATCCACCATCATTAATTTCTTTGTTTTGGAAGATAACCGCTGCATAGCTTAGGTGTGGAAACATGCGCTCATTTATAAGACACCCTGGGAAAAGCTATAGGGTGGTACCGCCTCGGTCGACTGGTCCTTGTCTACCACCTTCTTTTTGCGTGTTAATGATATTAAATAGACCTAAAGTGGCCCGTTGGCGGACTTGTACCGCCACCCGGCAATCGGTACTGAGGTATTCCTTAACGCGTGTACAATCACTTGTACAGGAAGAAGTTGTATGCTGAATACAACAACTTCCGGAACAAGCATTTGCCACGGCCCCGCTCAGTAGGGGTTGGGGTTTTTGAAATTCAATATAGATGTTACAGTTTAGACTTTCGTTGTCGAACTTAGATTTACGGCATAGTTGTTTTCTCAGTTTTCGAACCGGTGTTGATCGCATGTAGAGATGTTAGAAATCCTTGGAAAAAACTATATCTGTTAGATCGTAATTATTTTGATAATGTATGTTTGTACTAAACAAGTACAGGAATACAGGGCTATACATATTCACGTATGGTGCAGCAGCTCTGTGCCTTAAACGAATTCAATATAGCAACATAAACAGACAAATACGCGAGAAGAGATGCGGGACGTGTGGTATTGATTTTGAGCATCGATCGACGGAGTTTCTAGACAGGGCACAGGCCCACCGCTAAACAAATCTCATAAACGTGTATTTCCAATTTAGGCATTCATCTAACATGGTGCTTCGCTGCAACACCAACCCTTAACAAAATCAGTCAAGCTTTACACACTTTTCAAATTACTATTGAGCATCAAACAGAACATAAATCACTTTTTAAGTGCAATCTGTATAGCTAATATATACCCAGACTTAGATTTGTCACAAGTCACAATATTCGTATATACATATAAATCGTAAGAGTTGTGCAGTAAACAAGTGATGTCAAAGAGGGACAGCATTTGGAATACCAAAGGATACTAAAAAATCATAATGCTCAGTTCCTATAGCTATAACTTATAGTTAGTATGCCTCTGTCACCATAATGTAACAGAAAGTAACACAATGGTGTTAGATTGAAAAAGCAACTGTCAGACGTCTACGTGGGGGCGCCCTCCCTCTATATCCGCCAGTGCAAGGAAGACAGACGATTTGGTACCATACACCAGGACGATTCAAGACTCAGCAAGTAAAATATGCTGCTATCATGAATGTCTATGCCAGTCTTAATCTTTCAACCTGGAAATAGTTTAAATTATCCATGCCAATCCATTATCTAATGTATCATTCCATATAGGTATACACCAAGAACGGCATATTCTCATTTTCTCTGAAATATCATACAATTTTATTCGTTCTTATACCCTCAAACATTTAGAAAAACGGGCACAGTTAAGACATTGTACAGGGTGTCCGCAAAGTTGGGGTTTTCCTTCTCAAACACAACTACGCTTGATATAACAAACCTAATGTGTGGTGAAACGTGAGCGTACATTTAAAAAAAATAAATGAAAAAGACTGTTCACTTGAATTGAAATTCCGAGTACGGCTCTGTCGTAGTCGTACGTCACGCTGGCGCTGTGGACGTGATAGAGGAATGGGATAGAACCGGCTTCGGTTTGGTTCAAGCTTGATTGAGTTTACGGAACCAAATATCTCGGTTCTCTTAAGACATAAGACATAAGACTTAAGCCACTTCATTATTACATATTTCCAAAACTTCAACATACCCATTTTGCTCCTTTACTGTCAAATGATTCTCATTGACAAAAAAAAACGAAAAATGGCAAAACGGTTGAGAAATCACCTAGCTTCAATGTCTTTAACCGACGTATTAGAGTTACTCTCATTCACATTTCATTGCAGCATGGCTAATTGCAGAAGTTAGATCATCAGCTTAGCATCATTGACATTGCAGGTACTAATACTGAATCATCATAAACATCATAGACAGCTTCATGCTACATCACGGTAAGTGCATATTTCAGCCATTTTCCATTTCGAACTTGCACATGCATGTTTGCACTATTTACGAAGCTTTTACCCGACCGCCTCAGAAGGGAGTTTATGTTTTTCGCGCGATGTAAATTCTATTTCACCGGCTATACGCTGAACGGCTTGATGGATTTCCACATACCTATGACGTGTTGTTGGATTCGTCTTCGAGATGCGAGTGACACTGGCTATATTAAAAATTTATAAAAACAAAACGACGGATTTCAATAGAAAATTCAACCTCGAAATACCTTTCACTAGCTAAAGCTTAATGGCTTGGCAGATTTAGACATATGATATGTCTCTAGATTTGTCTTTACAGTGCGAGTTACACTGGGTATGCTAACATTTTATAAAATTAAAACGGCGGATTTAAAAAAAAAACTCAAACTTAAAATTCCTATTTCACGGCCTACAGCTAAAAGCACCTTGACGAATGTTGGCATACAAGGTGACTGTGCAAGTCACACGCAACGTCAAATTGCGTATTTGACCAATCGTCGGTGTATTTGACATGGTTGCAGATTCAGTTATCTAGACACTTCCCTTAAGGATTTTTCGTGACTATTACGTTATTACACTTCACGAATCAGCTTCAATTTGGTCAGATTGATCGATCCATTAAGTATCCAACAAAGTACTGTAGTGTTGATGTTCATTTCATTAAATATGACCAATCGCAACACGGCTCACCATCATACTGAAAATATCACTGCCTCCTATTTTCATTTACTCATTCTCAATCTGCTAATTTTCTATTTCGTTTTACTATTATTAATATTATTAATGTATTATTATCATTACTAAATCATGTTTTTTGTTTCAGCTGCCGCCTGATTCCTCTAGCCATTAAGAACATTTCAGTTTACATTTGTTAGCTATTTATCTTTTATGGTTTTTAATTTGCACGATGTGTAGAATTAGGTCAATAAACATATTTTTGGTTATTACACCTCATTTTTTTCTTTGCTGAAAAGCGCAATTGCGACTAAACAATAAACAAAGGAAATATTAGAAATGTTTTTGGGCTATTAGGCTCTTGAGATAATAGCAATTGGAACCACACGTACGATTACTCCTTTTCTCCAAAATGAATCTTATTGGATTTCCAACAAATCAACTTCATCTCATCTTTATCACTTTTATTACCGGATTCGCCTTTTTTACACAGTTCCGTTCAAAAAGGTCCCCTCTACTCATTCTCTTTGAGCAGGTCAAGTTAATAAGCTGAAATTCGTAGTGGCAGTTGAAATTATCAAGGTGGCGCCCCTCATCAGTACTTTATAACTTTAGAATATAAAATTGCTACATTTCAAAATGGCAGACTGGCAGGCTGGCAACGATGTGCGTTTATTTTTGTGCATTAAGTCGCTCATAACTCAAGAATGACTCACCAAAACCGTATGTTATACAAACTTTTTTTACTGGCAGCTTGTCAAAATGTGACATTTTTTTAAAACAGAACAGAGAGGAAAAATATGAATATAACATGCTAGAGCGTTCTGATAATTGGTTGTTGAGTTATAAGCGATTAAAGGTTCAAAAACGCTCAACTTTGACAGCCTACGAATCCGCCATTTTGAAAAACAGTGACTTAATTTACAGTTATAAAGTACCCATAAAGAGCTTCAAAATCACGTGGCTCCCAACCCCATTTAAAAAATTCCAAGATAGCGCCCAGCCTCAGTCTTGAAATTTTCAAATGTCACTTTTTCGCTAAAGATCGCCCCGAATTTCAGCTAAGTAGGTGTAAGCAATAGCTGTTTTATCGCGAGCCGGTGCAACCAAATCTAGCTGCGCAGATCTTGACTAAAGCACATGTCCTTTGATGCCCCTATAAACAAATCTTTGTGTAAATTTTTTTTTTCATAAAGGTACAGTGGTAGAATAGGTGGTGCCAAGCACATTGGAACAAATTGAGCTGTAGAGTTCACGGGCACCCGCAGGGAGTTCTTGAACACAAAATCATGCTAAATATGCAAATTATAAAGCCCAATAGAATTTTCAGAGAGAGGGGGGCACGGCCCCTCTGGGACACCCCTGCGGGCAACCATGGTAGGGCTTCTAAGGCAATGACTGTGTTTACGAGAAGGATCACAGAGAAATGACTACTGAAATTTTAAGTGCGAACGTGCAAACTCACTAAGTGGTAGCTTCAATACACTATATTGTGATAAGCGTGACAACTAAAAAATGTATTAAACAATATATATTTTTATTAATTCTAAATATAATACAAAATTATAATACATTATATATCAATAATACATAGACACAAAAATAATAAATTACAACACATAATAAAAATGACTAATTTTGAATAGAGCTAAAATTGTAGGCTAAAAAGAATATAGTTGAATAGTCTGTAATTACAACGGCAAAAGTTGCTCTAAAACATTGTATATTTTAAAGTAAAATGCCTTTCAATCACAAGAATTATACTGTTCACATGCTTAGCTATGAAAATAGAGTGTATTTGAATATTATGGGTGGATGAATCATTGCACTATATCAGTCATATAGTATAGTTATCATTATTTATTTTCTTTGAAATCCAAAGTCTGTTTCACCAAAAATATTTATTCTGAAGCATCATAGCAACTTCAAATGTTGGCCGAAGTATATCATAAGCCCAAAATAACCCAAAACTAATAAGAAGATCCACAAAGTTTGTGTAAAAGTAGAAATAAAAGACCGTACTCTCAGGTAACCATCAGTATTGAAATTTTGATAGGAAGGACTATAGATTTCAAACCATGGGTATATAGCAAACTAAATCTCAATAGTGACTTCCATTTGAATTGAATGTATCGTGAAACAGTTGTTTGGATCAAGGTTTCAGATGATTTTAATCATTTGATACCCTGCATATATACATAATACTCACATCTATGTATAAAAAATAGGACAGCTGTATACATACATATTCCTTGAATGAATTGCTATATTTGGAATCTGTAAAAATTGTAAATCACAGATGCATATGATAAACATATCACTAAAATTACAATAATTTTTCGTTATGTGCAACGTCCTGTCTAGTGGTGATCGCGCGAACTTAACGTTCTCAAAACCGGATGTAAGTGTTTAGGTTTACGACACACTTAACATACAAGGTGTGGAAACTTCCCACCACGGTTTATCGAAAACCACTGATTAAAAGAGAAAACGCCAACGTGAGATTTGTCAAGGGGGACAACTTTTTAACCAAAAACTACCTCACCCCCTTTCACCCTCCACGTTTGATTTTTTTAAATCAGTCGATTCGTTTTCGAGAAAATTAGAAAAACCTGTATCTTAATTTGTTCAGATAGAAAGCAAAAACACACGAAAATATCACTTTTTATTTCAATAAGTGTTCAAAATGTTGCCCCTTAGGGTTTCCCAAATCTACAATTCGTGTATAATTTAAAACGGAAACTACCATCATAAAGAGCAATTCGGAAGATTGGACGTGGCAATAACCAAATAAGAGTAGAAATGATTCTAATTTATGGTACCCAAAATTTATGTTCTCTGCAAACTGGAAAGTCCTTTCAAACAAGCTATTACTCGATACCCCTTGTCATTTAAAATTTTCAAGGAAATGACCCCGGGGCAGAGGATGAAAAGGGGTGAAGTAGTTTTTGGTTAAAAAGTTGTCCCTCTTGACAAATCTTTTGACGTGTCTCGGGCTTTTTTTTAATCAGTGGTGGGAAGTTTTCAAATGAACACCCTGTATAAAAAGAAAATATAAACCATTTGTACAGAGTCACAGGGACATCTAATGCAATCAAATCTTGCGCCTTTTGATATGAAGCACATGTAGTTAGTTTATTATTTTGTATTGATGCTGACATTAACTGGCTGGCAATAGCTTAGATGGAACTCATTTTAAACCAAATAGCGATTTTTACCTCTCCGCTGCTTCATAAATAACAGACCATGTATTTCCTAGCTTACTCTCATAGTAGGCTAGGGATCATTATATGTATTTATTTTCTTCAGTTCACGCAATGGCCAATAGGTAACTATGTAAATTGTCAATTCTAGCTTCCAGTAATGAGTAATGATTAAGATATTTGTGATTTTATACTAAATATAGCAATATTATGGAGAATCCCCTTCAAATACTACAAAAAGTGCATGTAAAATCAATCAGACTTTAATAATAGCCCTGATACATATGTATAGTGCATACTCATTCAGAGATCAGCTTTATGTGCAAAACTTATAAAAATATAAAGTTGCTAGCCCATATCTATGACAGAGGACAGGTACTGAAATTTCACAAGAGCATTCAACTTGTTACAATGCAGTCATAAAATGGAAGAAAATAGGGTACATGTAGTGTGACATTTAAATAAATATTTAATAGAGAATAACTAAAAATAGGTGCACTTCAAATGAATTAATTACAAACAATGGTGTTAAAGCTCTTGTAAAATTATTTATTACAGCTTCAATGCTGCCTTACACAGAGTATAATACATCCATATACTAACATTTGTATCAGAATTTCAATATGCAGTGGAGACTGTGCAATTAATTGACTGATTAGATTAGAGACCACCATGTCATAAAAAATTGTTATTATCCCGTGTATCCTTGTGATGAAAATCATCACAACACAAATCATCGCTTCACCTATCACCTGGTGTATGCTCTTTCTTTGAATCCAAGTTATATTTGTTTCTTCCCACTATTCTATGATCACAATATCTACATATGCTATATATGCTATACATGTCACTTGCAGCAGCATTTCCGGATTCTAAAGAATCATTATGAAAAAATTCTACAAGTCAACAGGACAAGTTAATATATGTTACTTTACAGCAAAAGCCAAAAATGTACAGTCGAGCCCAGAATGATAACTTAATGACAATAGTAGCATTTACACAGATGGGCATATAAAAATATTAAGTAGATATACAGGGAGTTTCAGAACAATGGGATCAAACTTCTAGGGGTTATTCAGTGTAACAGTAGAAAACATTTGAGTATAGGGAGCCATACCCAAAGTGCCACTACAGCACTACGGCCCTAAGACGCGTTAAAATTTAGAAAGACGACGAATTGCCTAAATAGGATTTAATGCGTTTAATTTTTGCCTTTTGTACATGATATCATCACAACAATTGTTCAAAATGTCTTCCTCCAAACTGATTTAACGTCGCACATGATTTCGGCGAACCTGAATAAAAATTTGATACTCGCTTTGAATGATTTCAAATGCTGCTGTAATTTGTTCAATTAAGTCTTGCTCTGTTTCTACTGGAGTTTCGTAAACCAAAGACTTTACATGTCCCCACAGGAACGGTGTATTCAGGTTGGAGGAAGACATTTTGAACAATTGTTGTGATGATACAAAAGGCAAACATTAAATGCATTAAATCCTATTTAGGCAATTCATCGTCTTTCTAAATTTTAACGCCTCTTAGAGGCGTACTGCCGTAGCGACACTTTGCCGGATATGGGTCCCTATACTCAAATGTTTTCTACTGTTACACTGAATAACCCCTACAAGTTTGATCCCATAGTTCTGTAACACCCTGTATAGCTGTTAGCTTCTCAGTAACCACAAATACTCACATCTCTTCAATCAAATTGCTGCAATGTATCTTCCAGTTTGCTAACAATATTTTTATAAAAGTTCAGTTGTTCCTGAAGGAAGGCCTTCATAGTTAATCTTAGATCAGTATCCCGTTCATTCTGAAAATGATTCAATTCTGCAAAAGCAGTATAGGTAATTATATCTGTTCTTCTTCTGACTTCTGCAAGTACACTTTGCTGCCCCTGTGAAGTCCTTTCCACTTCCTTCTTCTTTTGTTCAGACATTTTTTGTATATTCAAGATATCAGGCAGGCAATTTGTGATGCCTTTGTAGATGTACAGCTTGTCAAATAGTGGCTGCCAGTCCATTTTGGCTTGTTCTTCATACAGCTTGCCAATGATCATATATGTTGAACCAATATTCTTTACATCTGAAAGAAAATAGAAAAGTTCAATAGAAAAAGATAATTCATAAAATATATTAAGTCCACTTACCCACAGATGCCTTGGAGTACATCCCCTGCTGATTCTGTTCAAAAGCAGCACCAACTGCAAAAAAACTTTCTCCAATCTTCATAAACTCTCTTTTGTACATGTTTACACATTTCTTTTGTTGATCTTGGGCAGTGTTCATCAAATTTTTGATGCACTGGTCCATTTTTGTAACATAGTTGAAGTTCTCCTCAATTCTGGGCTCCACAAGAGAGGAAAGAATCTCCTTTTCAGGTGCTTCAATACTTTGACAGAAATTGGCTCCAACCAGTTGATCTCTTTCTGCATTCCTTTTGCCTTGTTTCCACTGTTTTTCATCTGTGCAGGTTAGAAAGTGAATCCAGACCTCACATGTGGACAATACTGGATGTCGACACATGTAATTAACAAATTCTTGAAGTTGGGCTCTTCGATGTTCAATGAATTGTTCTTCATACCTAAATAATCATTTTATATATTCAATAACAATGAATTCTTCCATGATGTGAAAATATTTGAAAGTTTGATTCCTCAGTTCATTCCTGAGGCCTTCATATCAAAATTATGTTTGCTCATTTTTTGCATTAGCACATGAAAATTCTAATATCTCCAAAAGTACTGTTAGTTATCAATATTTCAATGAAACACCAGTATGTATCTGACTGTCTACAAATCATTTGGTTAGATAATGTACTCACAAAATTGTGAATCTTACTTCAGATTTTCTATTAAGCTTTTCTTACCTTCCAGACACTTGCTTATCAGGCAAAGGTGGAATTGCTATCACATTGAATTTGGCCATTAACCTATCATGTAACCAGTCAAAATGCTTGTATCTTCTAGATACCTCAACATTAGAAAATGATGGTGTCAACTGATAAGCAATAAATGATTTCAAGCCACCCATTTTCGTTGCCTTTTTGGGTGATGTTATTTGAACTGTGTAGGGATTGGATATTACTTCCCATTTTCCTATTACATCATCACCCTCTCTGTATATGTGGATCTTTTTACTAATTGGCAGGTTTGCAGATGTGCCTATAATAAAAATTAAATAACTTATTCAATTTTATTTGTGTGTAAAAGATGTGATTCAAGTTGGCAAGTATATCTTTGAGCTGCTAGTCTAAAATTCAGCTAATTTTATATAAGTAATTCTTAAATGTGATATTGATCTCATAGCATAATTACATGGGGTTGTCCAAAACGGACGCAGGAAAGTAAACTCATATTAAAACAAGAAAGATTGATATTCTAATCAAGTTGGGTACTTTATTTTGAAGGTTCATTTATACCATTTATGTATGAAAAATAATATCGGTCAAATGTTCACCACGACTGGATTTACAGACGTCCACGCGATGGTCGAAATTTTCAATGACATTTTGCAACATGGTCGGTTCTATGGCATTTATCTCGGCAATGATGTTGTTTTTGAGTTCTTGGAGGGTGGCTGGTTTGTTGACATAGACTTTGCACAGTCACAGTCACTTTTTGAGGATGCATCGTCTGCTCTTGATACTCACGGGGATCTTCGTTCGCCCAGATGCGGCAGTTTTGCTTGTTTACCGTCCCATTCAAAGTGAAATGCGCTTCGTCGCTGAACATGATTTTTGATGAAAAATTGGCATCAATTTGGCGGTGTTCAAGGAGCCAATCTGAGAACGTTCGGCGCGAAAAATGGTCGGCCCGACGCAGCTCTTGCGTCAATTGGATCTTGTAGGCGTGTACATTCAAATCCTTGTGGAGAATGCGGAACAAACTGGTTCTCGAAATGCCCAATTCCTGGGATCGACGCGTTGTTGATTGTTTCGGATCGTCTCTCACACTCTCCTTCACAACAGCAATATTTTCCGGTGTGCGAACGCTCCTTGGCCGGCCAGAGCCTGGCAGATTTGCCACAGAACCTGTTGCCTCGAATTTACGCACCAGACGACCGATGGTTGTTTCGTTTGGGCTCTTGAATAACTTTAATGCGGTCTTCAATCGAATACGACTCCATAGCGATCAATGGTAAACATTCAACTAACAAAATGACATGTTGGTGACAGAAAACAAGGATGACGTCTATGTCAAATTGCCTGCGTCCCTATTGGACAATCCAATATAATGGTATACCTCTAGAACTGTTTTGGAGCAGGATATGAGTTGATAAAGTTCCTTAAAGAGAAAGATGAGAAGAAAAGTTCTACAGATATAAAATAACACAATACATATTTTACAATCCATCAAGTTTGAATAGTATTTTGAATGGCTATTTGTATTATTCTTTTAATATCAGTTCATATACTTATTACTAAACATCACTTGTTCAATGGTTCATAAAAAAACTACTTAGAGTGGTCAAAAAGGAAAATAGCATGAATTTACTGGTCAACAGTCAGTAAATAGTAAAGGGCACTATAGCATATCATGCTCAGCTAACCTATGTACAAAATTGAGGTTTTGATAGAATAATGAAAAATTAATAGCTGAGAAGAAAATAGTCAAATATGTACTTACCTAGAATATATCCTTCCACACCAGATTTTACATATGAAGAAAATATATTCAAACTCTTTTTAGTGACAGTACCCTTATTATCGATGGAATTATTTCCCAAACTTGGGATATCAGTATTGCTATATTGAAACTGATTCTGATTTGGTTCATTACTATAAATCGATTGCTGATTTGTGGTTTGATTATTGCCTATTTCTGAATATGTATCATCATCCCAATCATCATCCCAGTCCTCATCATGATGGCTTTGTTGCGATTCTCCCCAACTGTTTTGGGCTGGTTGAGGGTGAAGAACAGGAGCTGGGATACTGGGTGGATTGGATGGCCCCATTCGTTCTACGTAGGCTTCTGGGAATAAACCTGACTGCTTTTTTGAATTGATACCTTCCCACCAGCCATCTCCCACATCTGTTCTTGTTACAGTTAATGTTTCCCCTGTTGAGATGGACATTTCGGCAGTTCCAGGTTCCCCTTGGAAATCGTATAATACCCGCACTTTGAACATTTTGGGAAATTAGGGTTGCTGACAGTACGTTGTGGGTGTTACCAGATTAAATAGAAGGTAACGTAAACTGGAATTAACCTAGAAACGTTCAATTACACAAATGTTATGAGTTTGGTTTGATATCACATTAGAACTGTACTTGTTATCACAATGACCAAATGTTCAATTAACAAATAATTTACATTATCTTTATACCAATATTTAATCAATTGTTGCTGTCGTATGTATCATCTTTTTACCCAAAATTCAACAAAAAAACTAACACATTGATGAATCAACAAGGCGGAATGTCAAAAACACATGTCAACATAACAACTAAAATGTCACCCGTAAGACAAAAAAATGAAATGGATATATAAGCAATACATAAGAGGAACAAGGATGAGAAAGTACGGAACAAAAGTGAAGTTTGACAATTGACCTCACAGATGTCAGTTCCAGATGATTTCTATCAACTTTGACAGCGCAAAAGTGGAAGGTGTCAAGTTGAGAGAAGAAAAGAGGAAAACAAAACATCTCAAAACCAAAAAGCGTATTACCTGGTATTAACTTATGTTCACCATGTCTGATGACCATGACCAAGGCCAAGGAGTTACAGACTCACCGAAAAAAGGTTGCTTCCATATAGACTATCCTACAATTATTTCATAAATGTTTGTTTTTAGGCCCAACATTGTCAACATCAACATCTAGTTTTGAAGCACTAGATCCTCATGATCCAAATTTGAGTAAACTGGCAAATACAATGTTTAGCAAAACATCTGATTATTTATTTGGGGAACTAACATCAACGTTAGATGATTATGGTCTATTGGAAAATATGAATAGAGCTGTAATAACAAAATACTGTGATATGAAACATCTAGCTGTTAATGTTAAGAAAAGTATGACAGAACTACAGGAGAAATGTAAGTATACCAATGATTAAACAAGGCAGTAGGCTGAAGGTCCCTAATTCCAGGGGCTTTTCAGTGGATTAGTGAGTTCCCAGACTGCTCTTAAGGACGTTTTTGCTTTTCACCATCAAGTTTAAGCTAACTGGAACCATAATTGTGGTGGATAAATGAAAACAGACATTAACACAAGATTGTCACTTCTATCTGCTTGTCACTGCTTACCCAGGCATTTATGACCTGCTGGTCAAAAGGAGTATGTGAATGTTGCACACTGGCATTTATTTTGATAGGGAGCAAATGAGATGTGACTACACAATAGTCAATCCAAAGTAATTATGAAGTTAGCCCATGTCTCTAGGTAAGAGCTGAAAGCTCCTATTACAGTTTTTGAAGAAGGGAGGGCTGCTTACTTAGGCAGCACCTTTGATAGTAAATGCCTTTGTAAGAAAATTTAAGAGCAGGGAGTGGGATAGGTCTGGGTGGGGGGTTCGCACGTCTCACAATTAAAACAGCAATATATATCATTTTCTTAAAAAAAGGCCAGACTTGGGCATCTAGGGGGAACCCTCTAAATCCATCATTGTTGGTGAACAAGTCTGGGTTCTCAAAAAGTGCATGTGAGCTTATGGCATCATACCTAACCTTAAGGCCGCAGCAGATTAAAGTTGTTAAGCATTTATCAAAGATGAACATAATAACATCTGGGGTGCCCCAGGGCAGTTAATCTTGGGCCTCTATTATTCATATTTTTTCTGAATGATTTGCCAAACCGTGTAAAATATGCCAAATGTCTCATATTAGCTGATGATTTTAAAATATACAATCATATAACTTGCCTTTTTGTATTGATTGATTAATTGTATTGAGATGCAAATTGATTTAAGTTAAGTATCCCAGTAGTTCAAGGAAAATAAAATGTTGAATATTGCCAAATGTAGTTTAACTTTTACATGAAAAGCACAATTTATAGATTTTAATTACAAAATTGATAAATTATTGCTAAGTAGGAAAAGTGAATGTATTCTTTGCTGTTCCTAGGATCAACTTGAGAATAAGAGGCAACAAACTCTTTCACTGTTCACCTGTAAGTTGTTCTTCTATCAATAGAATGATGTATGAGTGTAATAGTTATTAATATACAAAATTGTGATGTGGACCTCCTTTCGCCTACTGTGAGACCAATTAAGACTGATTTTAAATTTAAGTAAAACATCCTTATCTCATTTTATTTGTTTGTTAATTTTTATAGTTTTTCTTTGTCGTTATTTTGTAGTTATACGTTTTTGTGCATTCTGTGTTTCTCTACTAGCCAGTAAGCACTCCTCCTACATGTAACTACATACAAATGTGTTTGTAAGAGTTTAAATAAATAAACAAATATGCCCTTGGTAGTAACGTAAGACTTGTTTTCAGCAACAACAACAAAAAATGGGAACACTCGTACTTTCCATAGATTTTCATATCAATTGGTGGTACTGGATTTTGTTTACTAAATTGTCATAATCGACGTGAGCTCACACACTAATGTGAAAAAAGTTTGTTTTAGTTGAAGTATATTTTCAGAACATGTAATTTTTCAAAAGCAATGTCCAACTGATACATTAGACATCAGTTGGAATACCACTTGCTATGATAACATCTTATTTGGGCTTTGGGCACTTTTCACGTTTACACCTTGACTTGTCGTCGGGATCACACGGTACCTCAAAACTCAGGTATCTCCATTACATGGTAATTAAAAAAAAAGTGATTGGACTATTTGCTTTCGTGTGGCTGGAATCTGTAATCTTATTACCATTGAAGATAAGACTATCTTAAAGTTAATATTCCGAGCCTATTTCGTACTGTTAGTTACTATAATCACTAAGAAGGTCCACCACTTTTATCAGCTCTGAATATTAGCGATGATGAGCAACGTATTTTCTATTCCATTGAAAATTTCAAGTGGATAATAACTTAGCCAATTAATAGAACAAAATTCATAAAAGGTAAGCTGTTTGAAATATTTTTTGAAAGATATTCAACATATCTCGGAACCCAAAACGTTCTTTTTCATTAAGTTGGAGTTATTAAGCATTACAAATTAGGATGAGGAAAATTACTGGGCATATTTTCTTAAATTTACGTCATTCACGTTGCAAATTTATCGCTTGGAGCTACTAAGTATTTAACAATTTGAATAAATCGTCACATCATTTAAATATATCCTCTGAAATAATATAAATTGGTATTTAACTCAAACAATTCACACTACTCGATTATTATTCATGGAGTTTATGTCATGTTCTAGACTGAAAACGATTAATATTCAATCTGAAAAGTTATGGTGTTCAATACGTAAATCTAGTTTTTCCGGGTATTTATGAATTGATCCTATGTTTATGAGATATTTGATGCCTGTATCTAACATTTATTATTAGTTATAAAGCTACCGTTCCTCAGTAGCAAGTATAATAAAAAATGGCTTCAAGTAAACTGGCTCTGCTACAATTTTCCATTCAATGCTGTTAATATGGGAGATGGTGATATTGTATTCATCGATAGTCTTATAACATCTTAATACGGAAAAAATCTACTTATAAATCTGCAAAGGCATATAAACATACCAAGATGCATGTTACAAAGGAAAAAAGAACATAGTCATTCAAGAACAATGATTCTCAATCCGCTTGACGAATTCTGCACATGAGAAAAGAACGGGGCAAATCTGCCCAAAAGACTCAGATCAAATCGAAACGATTAGGTATGTTTGCTTAGACTATACAGGGTGTAAAGTTATGGTTGGATCAACAGATGATACAAGGCCTCAGTACCCATCGATTGAACCGCTATATATGTGATATTTTATAGTTCAGGAGATGTTTGCAATTTCGTGAAATTTTGAAAATAACGAGATTATGATCTTTCTAGCACAAGTTCAACTAAACTATTAGGTGTAGGGCTGCAATTTTTGATTTCTGGTATGGGCTAAATGGTTATACCTATCATCTTGTAATCATTTCATTTTTTTGTGAAAAATATCTCGCATCCCTCAACTTTGTAGGGTGCTGAATAAAATTGTGGCTGTATTTCATTATGCATTTTATTATAAAAAATATTTCAATCCCTGTAGAATCAGTCTTCAAAATTTCTTGCTTCTTGCTACGATAAACACCTCACGCTATTCGCCGACACAGCAGAAATTAATTAAATAAAAATATGAATCGTCCGTCAGGTTGAATGTTAAGTGATGTCTTGCTTTTTTATAAACCAATTTGACGATGTACCTTTGGCCGGGACCCATGCGACGGCCTCCAAGGTCATCAGATTTGAATCTTCTAGATTTTTCTATGGTGGTTTTATAAGGACATAATGTATACATCTAAATATACAGGTGTTAACCAACTGCGCCAGAAAATTAATGAAGCAAAATTAAAAATAATGGAAACGAAGATTCATTTCAGAGACTGAAAGACAATTTTATTAGAAGGTGTCTCTTGTGTATATAAAATAATTGAGGCCATTTCGATCAAATCAAATAAATTTTATTTTCCACAATTGTCGATGCATCGCCAAAAACAGCGGACAAACACAATAGATTCTTGAAGCTGGTAAGGAATCTCTTGTTTCTTATGTTTATCGTGTCATAACGACGAATGTGACATGATGAAATTTTCAGGGCTGATTCTCAAGGGGTTGCAACGAACTACAACCACATTTTTTACCGCTCTCCAAAGTTGAGGGATGAAAGATTGACTGTTTGCGTTGATTTTTATTAAATTCCATTACAAAATCATATAACCATTGGTAAGACCATCCATTTACTTAATACCAAAAAAAGAAATCGCAGCCCTATACCTAATAGTTTAGTTGTACTTGCTCTAGAAAGTTTTTAATCCGGCACAGGTATAACGTATCTTGAAAAGTGACATTAGGTCGTTTTTTTGACATAACGTAGGTTTTTCTACAAGATGTTAACTTAGCACCAGCTGATGTACACTTGTTGTGAACTCGTTTTGTAGTTGTACGTGTTGCGTAAACGTCATGATGCTTCAGTTATCAATGTTTGGCTCTGATGTGATGTAACATCTGCTTCAGAGATGGCATTATTGGAGGCAAATTTGCTGGATTTCAAAAATGAGAGAGATAAGGAAAGAAAATTCCTGGTTGGTGAAGAAACAGGTGAGAAAATATGCTACAGACAGGAATATTTATAAAAGTGAAATTTTATAGAAATTTATTTTGGGATATCATTAGAAAATGCAAATCAGTGCCTAGATGTGAGGCACTGCGAAAATGTTTGAAATGTGATACGTCATTCCTAACTTTTGATGTGGCTTAATTGCACACAACGCCGACGCGGTGGCGATTTCCCGTAATGCTCTTCGAAGTTTTTGAAAACACAAAAAACGGGAAAATCGTGCTTTATACCTCTGAACATAACCTGTCTTCGGAAAGGACAACATATAAATAACCCGTCGGGCACAGCTAATAGATATACTTCATTGGCAGCATATTCAGTAATAATTTTCTCACATAGCACATATCACTGATTCCATACACATGCAGACCAATACAACAATCATCTTTGTTTCACATCTTCTAAGAGATAACCACTACTGACTACTCGGCTTCACAACCAACAATGCGTGTAGTTGAGTCATTCCTCCATAGATGGACGATCATAGTGAGCAAACGTGGAATGAACTATTTGCACCCTAAAAACTACCTAGTAGTCTGCAAGATGACATTTGGCCCTTTTTTAGACGTTTTTTAGGGCTTTTTCAATCGATATATTATATTGAGGCCCTGTACCGTTGATCCGCCCATAGCTTTACACCCTGTATAAAATAAATCTATAATATTTATGTTTGAATGAAAAATTCGTGTGACTGTTCAGAGGCTTCTTAACAATTCAACACCTTTCACTGATACCAAAAATGCAACATATACAACCCCCTTTGAAACATCGAACAAGTGTATTGAACATTTTCATATTTGTTCCATTTTTTACTCATAGCTCCACCACTGTATCAGTGCCCAAGATACACAAAGCTTCACCATCCTTGGCTAGTAGTAACCTTGTGTAAAAATTATAGCGGTGATTTCCAAGTTATAGTGATGCGGACCCACGGAAACAAGTAACATGCTTCGTGATATCATTTAACATTCAAAAATTCTCGTTTTCAAATTTGCCAAGTAAAATGATACAAAGGCAACGGAAGTTGTAATGACTAAAGATAGAGAATCAAATTCGAAAGTTGTATTATGGAGTATGAATGCATTCAGGGAGATACAGCACTGCAGCGCTCGGTCTTTTGAACTAAATAGACAGTGACACACATTGTACAATATACATCAAGACACTTTATTTCTAGAATGATAGTTCATTAATGTCATGTGTATCAAGATTTTGAAAAAAAATGAAAATGATTATCTACAAATAACTAGAAATGATATAAAATACTGAAAATTTATAAGTTGAATAAAGAAAATCGATCATATGAATATGATAAAAGTTGGCAAGTTATCGAAGCATATCAAATTAACAACAATTTTTATCAAAAACACTTTAACAGTCAGTGTACTCGACCCCATTTTTGTAGCATTGTTGGAGATATTCACTAATTTCCTGCTATGTTACAGATTAATTTATTTGTAAAAGTAAAGTGATTTTTATAATTATTTAAATACATTTTATGAAATATACAAATCCGTTATTAACACTCACTCACTCAATTTAAACAAGTCCAGTATTATTTATCATGCTTCCTTTTAGGTTATAACTGGAAGTCAATATCACATTAGAGTATGAAATATATCTTACACCCACATCAAAGTTCTAATTGATTACGATGATTTTACAATGGAGCTTAACGATTTAGCTACTGTCTTACCATACAAAAAGTTATCAAGTAGATTGACTTATATCTTTCGCTGAGTTGAAATGCGTATAATTAGGTAACCCCAGAGCGAAAACTTACAAGGTATTAAATAGTTAATATTTAAGCCGGTGCTTCACAGTAGGTTTGGAAGTGTAGGAAAACTTATAGAATCCAAGCCTTTAG